GCCATTGAGAATATAAAAATTGAAAATTCTTAAATCATTTGTTATAAAAAAGAACAACAATGATAGAGATCACTAATTTTTGAGCTCTAAAAATATCACTAATGACATGACACTCAATAAAAAAATAAAAAAAATACAACACTAAGGTCAAAATATCAAATCATTCATGGTGGGGCCCACTGTCACATCATTAGTGATAGCACTAATTAGTGCTCTCACTCATTTTCCAAAAAAGAAACAAAAGATAGTCTTCTTGGTTTGTACTTCTTTTGCTATAATTGAGAATCAAAAATTTTTTGTATCTTTTTTTTTTTTTTAAAAAAAAGAGAAAACTATTATGGAAAGAACGGAAGAAAGCAAAAAAGAAAAAGAAAAATGATAAAAGTAAATTATTGGAGAAGATAAGAATTCATATTGTAGAGTAGTTATTTGAAGAATGTGAATGAGTGGGAGTTATTGTAAAGTATTTTTTATTTTTATTTTTTATTATGTACATATCACACGACAAAAGTTTTAAAAACCAAAATAGGGGCTCGCTTAATGTAACGCCCTCAAAAGAATACATAAAACCTATTACTTTAAACATGCATTGATATAAAAGAAATCAACCATTTCTATTCATTAGAGTAATTCTTACATTGTATTACATGTTAACAACAAAAGCAAATGCCCTATGGGTTTACAGCTTTCCAAGTTAACACTTGGTTACAAAAAGAAGAGTACTAATTCAATACATATTAAGCCCTTGGCTTAAATTTACATGTAATACATCAAGATAAACAAAAAGAGTCTTCAACTCTCATCATCATTCAAGCTATGTCTTTGGGGGTGGCATACTACCTGTACCTGAAAATAATGTCCCATAAAGGGTGAGCCAACGCCCAGTAGAGATATGCTAAACACAGTATAGGCAATAACTAAGACATTAGCAATTGATAAATGTTCGATTTTCCATAAACCAATTCATAACCCATTTTCCATTTCATGATCACTATGTTCATGTTTCATTTCAATTTTCATTTCACAATAGACAAACATACTAGTTGTATCAACATCTCAACAGATAAGCATACAAACTGTATCCATATTTCAACAGATATGCATATTAGCTATATCAACACTTCCAATGATAAGCATATGAGTTGTATCAACACTTCCAATATAAGCATATGAGCTATATCAACATATTATCTGACAAACATATGAGCTGTATCAGTAGAGTCCATCCCCTATCTCCTCCCAAACAACATCCGGTTTAGAGGTCCATTCCCTATCTTCCCATAAACCGTAGAGTACATCCCCTATTTCCTCCCACATACACAACGTATATACACAAAGGTCATATACACAATCAATCAATACATAACGTTAATGTATTCTATCAACTGTCATACTCTATGACATATCCAATTGATTAGTTTTAGTTTGCCTAATCATCATGCATTGTCTACAACAATCACAACTACCCTTTACCGGTAGCCCAAACAATTATTTCTAGACAGATAATAAAAGCTCCAACAGATAAAATATCAATGTTTTCAAAAGTGAGCAATTAATAAATCTAACTCTACAATTTAACCATATAATGAACCAATTTCATTATTCACAACTCAATTTCATATAACCACAATTTTTCCAAATTAATCATACCAATTAATTTATACAACCAATTAGGCTTTTCTACCCCATCTCCCAATATTGACCCAATGGTCTATATATCAACAACCAACATCAATAACACCATTTTGAAACCCGAAATACAAATCATGAGCCCAAAATCACAAAACTCTCTTTAACACATTTTGAAACCCTAAGTCCCCAAATCAACCATTTAAACAATAAGCTCAAAATCTAGGTTAAAACCTATAAGAGTGAGTAGGAATTCCTACCTCAAATTCGGAGCTCAAAGAAAAAGATGACGAAAACGAAGTTGCTCCAAACCACGAGTTTTTCGGATCAAAAGATAGCCATTGACGATCAACAACCTTTTTGTAAAGGCCAAAGGTGAGGAAACAACTCTTACTAGATCAATACCTAGAGAGAAGGCAAGGTTCTAGAGAGAGAAGCTCTCAAAATGGTTTTTTAGAAAGTAAGAGAGAGAGAGAGAATGTAAAAAGTGATTTTAAAATGCCCAGCTGCCAACTGATATACGACATTCCCGCTGGAGCGGAGAACACAACGCTCGAGCGTTAAGAACAAAAAACTAGGTACCCTCGAGCGCAAGAAGGCCTGCTCGAGCACCAAGACACAAGAATAAAGTACATCCGCTCGAGCGCGAAAACCAGTCCGCTCGAACGTAGATTTCCTCCTCCTAGAACTTACACCAAAAAGTACTACCCGCTTGAGCGCCACCGCTCGAGCGTAAAGAAACCCGCTCGAGCGTACAAATCATACCTGCAAAAGTTTTGCAGGGACACGAAAAACTGGAAGCGTGCAATCTCCGCTCGAGCGCAAGAAGACCCGCTCGAACGGACCTCCTAAAAACTGGGCAATAAAGAATTGAAACAAAAGCCTAACCAACCTGTAACAATTCTGCCCAATACATCCTAAAATTCAATCAAGTGGAATTAAAGGATGACAACAAGGTATACCACCACCAACATTACGGAACCGAGTCCGGAATACAACAGAACAGTAAAGGGACAACCGGGATTGCTATACTTAATATAATAAATCGATAACTTAAAAAAAAAATCCTTATTATTGTAACAAATAAGTATGTAAAAATATATACAAATATTATAGACATCATGCTTAGAAGTATTTATAGACATCATGCTTAATAGATAGTGTCTCTTTAATTTTAAATTTTTTATTTATAACAAAATTATTTAAATTTATAATATAAAATGAAAAATGACAATAATTTAGAGTAATTACACTTTTTACATTTATAGTTTAGTATAAGATTTATTTCGGTCTCTATTGTTTTAATTTGAATGAAATTTTTATATTAATTTTTTTATTAATTCTTTTTATATGTGCACACCTTAGAAGATGAGTCAATGTTCAAGATTTATTAATTTTAAATTATAAATTAAATGCAATAATCAAATTAAAATTAAATTTAAATTACTAATCAATTTGTTTAAGCAACGACAAGGACAATGGTGACAACGATGGCGGCTATAGTTTTAAGCTTCATGCGTATCTAGTTTCTCCGAAGCACATATAGGCCCCGTTTGTCTTTGGAGATAGAATGGAGGAGTTGATAGTAAGGGGATTAATAGTGAGGGGATTGATAGTGAGAGGATTGATAGTGAGGGGATTAATAGTGAGGAATTGTTAAATTATTTTTATATAAAATAATAAAACAAATAAAAAATATAAAAATTAAACATTAATATTTTAAAAAAAATTCCCAATATATAAAAAATAAAAAAATAAAAAAATTTCTAATCCCCTCACTATTTTTCTAATACCATCCCTACCTCCTCCTTATCAATCCCCCTTCCTCTTCCTTACTAGTCCCAAGGGATTACTAGTCTCCTCCCTATCTCTCAAAACAAACACCCCATTCTCAATCCCCTCCTCACTATCAAACCCAATCCCCTCCCTATAACCCCAAACAAACGGGGCCTAAGTGCCACTGGATCAGATTACATTTGTATAAAAATAATTAACAAATAGTATAACTTTCAAATGTAGTCAATCAAATTTTTTTAGACAAATGAAATCTAAATAACTAAATTTTTGGTATGAATGATCTTTTAAGAAAGTCATACAAAATGAATGGTTCGGATCTCTACAACAAATGAACAGTGCGGTTTGCATCACAACTACAACAAATGAATAGTTTGGATCACTATTCAGGTCAAAAAATTACATTCACTTTAAGCCCTTCCCAAACCAAACTTTTTAGCCCAGGCTAAAATAGCCAAAAAAGCCAAAAAGTCAAAAAGCCAACCCACTTCCCAAACGGAGGCTTTATATATGGTTTATGGTTTGGACCTGTGGACTTTATTTTGTCTTGTATGCAACAACTTTTCCTTTATTATTGCATTTACTTTGTTCTAAAATAAATAAATACATAAATTTTTGATTGTTTGAACTTTTATAAAAATATTAAAGGTTAAATTTTGAAATATATTGTTTGTAACATTTTGATATCCAATGTTTAATTATGCCAATTTAGTAATAAAGGTTGTTTCAAATTTGAATTGATTTTTTTATTAGCTTTTTAATTTTTTACCGAAATACATGCAAACAAAAAAATAAGGGTAATTTACAAACACAACTTTTGAGGTTTGCTTAAAATACGAATTGTCTTATGTGGTTTGGAAAATTACAAATACCTCATTGTTAGAATTATTTGTTTAACAGAATTAATTGAAAAAATAAAATTTCTAACTGTTCACCTATATAATAATAAAATTATCTAAATTATTAATTAAAATAAAATTTAAACATTATTAAATCTTATTAATTAACTTGATAATTTATAAATAAAAAGACCTATTTATTATGAAATTAAAAACCTGAGGGGGCATAATGTAATTTCTAAAACCACGAAGGATAATTTTACCCAAAAAATAATAACCTCTAAAATAGGTAATTTTTAAATTTTTAATAACTTTTTAATTAAAAAAACCTTGAAGTATCTAATTTATCATTCTTAAAAATTATTTTTAATAATATATCTGATAAATGTCAAATTTTAAAAGCTAAACATTTGAAACTCTAAAATAGGTAATTTGTTTCAATTTAATCCTTAAAATTTCATATTTGTTATTTTATTAAATTTCCTTAAGTAGTGTTTGGCAAGTGATTTTAGGGCTAAAATAACCACAAAAAATAAAATAGGCTATTTTAGCCATAACAAACAAAATATCACATTCAACTCATAATCATTATACTCTTATTTCAAAAAAAATCAAAAAAATCAAAAAATTATTCCTAAATTAAATTTTTTAACCTAAACTAAAATAGTCAAAAAAAAAAAAATTAAAAATCCAAACGGAGCGTTATAAATTTTGTAGATTACGAGAATCCCTCGTAGATCCTCATACTTCACATTCACACTCGCATTTCATTTCCAATTGACTGCTCTCACTCTCTCTCTCTCTCTTTCTCTCTCTCACTCATCCATTGCTTTCTTTACTAGACAAGTCACCCACTCTTTGTCGTCACCGTCGACGCACAGGATTCCATCTTCAAATTCAAACACTCATAAATGCCAATAAACTAACCACTTCTCTTTCTCTCTCTCTCTCACCCATCAACCCTAGATTCTCTTCAACCAACAACAATGGCGACAGACGAAGCCACCGAGAAATCCAAGGAATCTGATGCTGCATTGGAGCTGAAACCGCCATTGAAGAAGGCTAAGACATTGCTTGAAAAGTCTGATGGGTATGAAACTAGCAATGGTGATGTGAAGTGTGTGTTTTCAGCAATGCCTGAGCCACCGTCACCGTCGGGGACCAATTCGGATCAAACAGAGCCGTTCGAAGTAGCTGAGACTGAAGTGGATGTTGAATCAAAGCCTGGTTTGATCGAATCGATTGATGTTTCGGGCGAGAAGTCTCGATCTGAGGCTGAAGAGACTGAAACGAAGTCTACTTTGAGTGATGTGATTGTTGAGAAGTGTTTGAGGTCTCGGAAAATCCCATTTCGAATCGTTGAGGGTGAAAATGGTGACACTACCAGATTGGGTTCGGTTGAATCGAAGGTTAATGCAGTCGCTTCTTCGGAGAAGAAGGAGAGGAAACAGAAAGTCACGTCTTTCTTCATCGGAGAGCCAGTTCCGGAAATCGAAGCTCGAGAAAGGTGGGGTTGGCGATATGATTTGAAGGTACGTATCCAAATCTTATTCTTTGATTGTGTTTGCTGATGGGATCACCTCCCTCGCATCGCGTCTCTCCATACCCATCTTGGCCCCAATTTAGAGTCACATCACGATTGAAAGGTTATCTATGTAAAAAATTTTATTTGATCGATAATTTATAATATTTTATTTTATAAAATAAATGATAACAATAAATTGACACATAGTTATATCTATTTTGTTAAAAAGTAAAAAATTATTTAAATAATTTGTTCTCAAAGGAGACTGTAAACTTATATCATATTTTTTTATAAAACAAAATATAATTTGTTTATGTATTTATAGTTGTTTGATAAATTTTATTTTTTGCATTGATAATCTTTACTGCGAAACCTATTAAGTATACAGTTCAATTATTGATGTGAGTTTGAATTAGTGCTTTTAAGAGTAGCATGAACGGATACGGGGAGATAAAGTAGGGAGGGGAGCTTATCCCGCGACGGCGTGTAGAATGGTTAAGTTTGGCTTAGAGCATCTCCAATGGTTATAGGCATTTTACCTATCTAAACATTACTATAAATGATATATTTTATTTTGTCTATCAACTTTTTCATGTTTCTACTCTAACTATGCTTTTTATTTTAGCTATTCATCTAAATACTATTAATTTTATAAAATGCCACATCAGCAACAAAGATGGAGGGAAATGATCCTAATGATTAAATACATTTTGCCTAGCCTTGAACTACATGTAGCTAGTGAATGTGAGTTGAGCTAAAATGCCTAATCATATATGCCTAGTGCATTGGAGTTGAACAAAATGAGTTATACTAGGCATTTTGACTAACAAGCATGATATACCTAGTAGGTTGGAGATGCTCTTTTGTAAGTCAAAAATTGATAATTACAAACAAGCTAAAAACATCATTCCTCCAAATTTTTATTTTTATTTTTGTAAATTTTAAATAAGCTCTCTCCCCTCTCTCTCCCTCTCTCTCTCTCTAAACCTTATTTATGTTATTGTTACCTCAAAATCTATCATAATATATAAGCGGAAATTGTACCAAACACATTGACATAGATTTGCAAAATGATAAGTTATAAGCATCACTATTTAGGAGGTTTTACTAGGAAATTGCCAATTAGTGAAAACTTTTGAAAAACAAAAGTTGCTAAGAATGTAACAGTCTCTTCAATAAAAAAGAATCCTTATCTGAATCAAATTGATTGGAAGGAGAGTGAAAATTTGGTTTTTCTATAAAATCAAAGTTGTTGCATTCAATCAAAAAGTTTGGAGGGAAATACTATATTCATAAAAAATATAAAGCATCTATTAATCCAATATCCAAATAGTAAATATTCATAAAAAACATAAAATATCCAATGAATACTATATCCCAAATACCAAAATTCAACAAAAGCACAAAAATCTAACATAAAAATAAAATAAAATGATAATTACTCTCTGTGGTGATCTGCTCACAGAGATTAGTTGGTTATTTGTTTAGATTCCCAATAGACAATTTTGGAAGAAAAAAAACCAAAAAATTGGAGAGAGGAGAGAGCTATTGTATGGTGTAGAAGGCGTAATCATACAACTACAAAACTCAATAAATGAAGGATCTAAATTTGCAGATCAAAAAAAGTAAAGATGGAAAAAAAAGCCCTCGCGTCAAGTGTCTTGCTCTAAGACTTGAGGCTAGCACATTTCTTGCTTGCACCATGCTTCTCTACTTCACCTTGCTTAAGCCCCTTTGATGCACCATAGGTCCGCCTCACCTCTCGCATAGGTGATCACCTTAGTTTGCTTTACACAACATTGGGAAAGATTATATCTCTGATATAGGCCTAGTTGAACCATCATGCTTGTCTTGTCCAACAAAAGGGAGGCACAAAAAAAAAAAAAAAAAAAAAAAAGAAGAAGAAGAAGAAGAAGAAGAAGAAGAAGAAAGAGAAGAAAAAGAAACAGGAAAAGAAGCAAGAAAAACGTCCTTACACCCCCTCATTGTGTGCTTTCATGGTCACCAATTTTCAAGCGTGGTTTATTATCTTTTTGGTTTGCATGAGGATCTTTTGCTGCTCTAATTGGCTGCCATATGTTGAGAATGAATTTGTTGGACTTCGCAGAGTCAAAGATCTAAGCGCCAAAACTGGAAATTAAAGTGAGTGACAATCTATGAACTTATCTCCTAGGTAGCTTTTGTTGTAGCTTCTTTCCTCATTTAAATGTTTTCCACTATTTTTTTCCCTTTTCTGTCTTTGCTCTTTAATATTGTGCCTGCTCATTGTTGCAGCGCTGGTGAGGAGGATGAAATAATTTTGAATGTAGAATGTCATTATACTCAAGCTAAAGTCGACAGCTGCATTTTTAATCTTGGAGATTGTGCACACATAAAGGTGAATGCCTTATTTTGGAGTATCTCTCAAACACAGCTCAACCTTTCCCAGATCACTTGTTTTGCTATTGTGTTGTCTTGTAACATATTTTTTTGGTTTTGATTTCTCAATAGAGTTAATAAAGTTTGAGATCATGTGGTTTTTTTGCTTGTCCCATTATCTTTAAACAATTTAAGTAGCCTGATCAATTATGAAATGTTTTTCATTATTATTTCAAGAGTTCTGTAGGTCTTGTTTCTTTTTTATGTAAGCTTTCATATGTCTGGATCTGCATAAAATTAAAGTATTGCCACAACATTATTAGATCATTGTGAAACAATACCTATTATCATCACTGAATTTTGGATGCATATACTTTCACAAGTTATATAAAGTAGAAAATTGTGTAGCCATTTCCTTGATTATCCAGTGAGCGGGCTGAGATTATGTATTTAGAATGTAGCAGTTAATGTAGTCATTTCTGGAATTGTAAATTTTGCTTGCATTCTAAAATTATGATGGCTTTCCTTGATTAGTGTCAACCTCAAAGTCATTGAGATGAACAGGACTGAAATTATCAGCTATTTTATTCATGAATTATGTACTTTACTGTTTCCTAATTTATTATGTTCCTGAGTCCTGGGGATGGGGCTGCATGGGGTATGTAAACTGTTCTGTTACTGTGATATGGCACTGTTGAGGACATATAACTAGATCATGTTCTTATGTTTGAGAGCTCCAGCAGGAGTGACTCAGATATGAGCACATGTTTTGATATGGATCGTAAAGATGCTAAAAAATACTGTAGTTCATATTGATATATAATGGCAATTAGGAAGATAGAGAAGCTGAAGGGTTTCAGCATATGCCTCAGGGGATGGGGTTCTTATATTGGTCCTTTGATTTGGAGAGATGTGAATAATTGGAAGTTTTTATCGTTTGGGTTGCCCCTGACTCTCCCTGCTTTGTATGGGGCAAAATGAGAATTGCTGGACACATGATAATAAAATCTAAATTTTACACTAAGATACCCAACATATGGTGCACCCATATTTCTTCAAAAGTTGCTTTCTTTCACTTGACAGTTATGTTAGAAATTTCTATTGATCAGGTAAATAAGAAGGATGCTTTTTATATGTCCATGAGCAGAGTTACAAGAGGGCTGGTGGGACCATTTTCTCATTTGCCACTGGTTTGCTCAACTATGGTCCTAGGTTTGATCTTGGTTTGGTGTGGCTAATGTGTTTTTTATTTTTTACTTCAAATTCTTTTCTTGCTTTTGTGCTCTAGACAATGATTCCCATGATCAATTCCTTTCGCTTTCTCTGGAGCACTTAACAGCGGAATGCAATATTTAGGAGGTTGTCATAAATGAGTTTTGGGTTGAGGCTGATGATTGGTTGCATTCTTGAGCTGTTTTTTTATTCTTGGCTTTTTTAAATGGCTATGTATAAATCATTTTTTTGATGATGATTAGATTTCAGTTATTTTTCTTACGTATGGTTAGTCAGGGGTTTCTCATCACTGTACTACAAAGATAAGGGTGCTTCACAAAGTTATGTGGTGTGGGTGCGGGTGTGCGTGTATAAAAAAAAAAAAGAAAAAGAAAGGGAAAATGAAAAAGAATTTTTCTTGCCTCCTCTTGCATTTGTTACTGAAAAAGTTAAATAATTTGTACGCCTGTCAAAAAATACTGTATTATTGATTGATTTATGTTATGTTTACATTGATTCATATATATAGAAGAGAAGAAGGTAGTAGGTGAAGTGTAGTAGGTGAGGAGTAGGTGAGGAGTAGGTGGTGGTAGGTGATGGTAAATTGGTGGTAGGTGATGGTAAATTCTAACAGCCTCCCGCAAACTCAAGGAGGATAGAAACTAACCAACTTGAGTTTGTAGAGAGGAACAAAACAAGAAAATACATAAAAATAAAAAAGGATAGGTGACACTGTATGGTTGTGTCAGACCATTGGTGAAGACACTGGATGGTGGTGTCATAACGTTGTAGAGGACACTGTATGGGGGTGTCATAAGCTAGGGTTGCGAAGAGGACTAGCGTCCACACCAGTGCGAGTGAGAACGATCGAGTTCTTCTGGCCATTGTCTCTGGTTTTCGACACACCCTTTTGGTTTCGCCTCGCAGCTTTTGATACGAAGAAGAGGAATTGAAGAGATTTTGTGCTTGGACAGCAGCTGGGGAGGAAGCACATGCAGAGTGATCAAGGTATGTGTAAGAAAAATCTTAGCGGACTAGGTTGAGATCCGGCGGGCAGCTAAGGTGAGGTTGCCGCCCGCCGGGGAAGCGAAAATATCAGGTTCTAAACCTGCTCTGATACCATGTCAAAAAATACTGTATTATTGATTGATTTATGTTATGTTTACATTGATTCATATATATAGAAGAGAAGAAGGTAGTAGGTGAAGTGTCGTAGGTGAGGAGTAGGTGAGGAGTAGGTGGTGGTAGGTGATGGTAAATTGGTGGTAGGTGATGGTAAATTCTAACAACGCCACTGTGGAGCGTGTGGTGAAATAAGTCATCAGATTCAATGTGTCTAAAACACATAACTTGTAACCATCCATAAACCGTGGAATTGGTCTCCCAGATTAGTTGGTCTAGTGGACCGGATACCAAGTTATCAAAAAAAAAAATCACTTTTTTTTTTGATAAATAAAAAACAAATACTATTAAGAAAGCATAAAGATAGTGCAAAGAACCCAAGAATTACAATCAATGAATAAAATAAAGACTCAATGAAATCCAAAACAGTAAATAAATTCGGATTCACAGTCCCCGACACCTATCTATGCAAAACTACTAATAACTTGTTTTTCTGACAAGCGACCAAAGCCACTAACCCTTAAACCCCCGTTGACTCCACTCAAACCACACCAGCCCCATTAGGCATAAAGGAGTCAACAACCAAGCCCTCTGCCGCCTTTTCACTACCCTACCTCCTCTCCAACTAGCCAACACCTCCTTCACCGCCCCTTGTTGAACTCATACCAAATTGAACACACCAAAAAAAATCTCCATAATTGAAACGTCACGGGACAATGAAGAAGAAGATGCGACACATACTCAGCATCATGGCGACATAAACAACACCAATTAACCAAAACATGGCAATGACGAATCAAATTATCCAAAGTCAAAATACGACCATGCACAACTGACCAAACAAAAAGCGCCGCTTTAGATGGCACCCCAGAAACCTAAACCCCTTGCCAAGAGAAAGAAACATCCCCGGCCCCACCTAGGCCCAATATAATGAAGACACAAAGAACACCCCTTTGGCCCCCTTACACCTCCACCTCAACCCATCCGCACCCACCCTAACAACCCTCAAACCATATAACTCAGCCAAAAGATTCATCAGTTGATCAACCTCCTAATCAAACACTGGCTAGCATCATGGCGACATAAACAACACCAATTAACCAAAACATGGCAATGACGAATCAAATTATCCAAAGTCAAAATACGACCATGCACAACTGACCAAACAAAAAGCGCCACTTTAGATGGCACCCCAGAAACCTAAACCCCTTGCCAAGAGAAAGAAACATCCCCGGCCCCACGTAGGCCCAATATAATGAAGACACAAAGAACACCCCTTTGGCCCCCTTACACCTCCACCTCAACCCATCCGCACCCACCCTAACAAACCTCAAACCATATAACTTAGCCAAAAGATTCATCAGTTGATCAACCTCCTAATCAAACACTGGCTTGCGAAGCTTTGCATCCCACACCATCCTATCATCCACAACAGACAATAGGAAGGAACCTCTGCATTTTGACACTTCGCAATCTAGAACACCAATGGAAACTGAGAATCCAAACTCCACTCGCCACACCACCAATCTGTCCAAAACCTCGCCTAAGCACCACAACCCACACTAAAACTAACACACCTCCAAAACACCCCCCTCCCAAGCCATACCTTTCCACAAACCCGTCCCATGAGAACTCCTCACCTCCCCAGAACACCAACCCCCCCACCCCAATACTGTATTTAGCCACCACCAACCTCCGTCACAAATAATCCACTTCCCCGCACAAACCTCCACAACCACTTCTCCAACAAAGCTCTATTAAACAACACTAAATTCCGAAACCCCAATCCTCCCTCCTCCTTGGGCCTACACACCGTCTTCCAATCTGGTAAGTGATACTTAAAACCCTTAACCCCCCCACCCCCAATCCCACTCCAAAGAAAATCCCGTTGTAATTTCTCCAATTGACGCGCCGCCAAAACAAGAAAAACATGTAACGACATAAATAAGTTGGAATACTCTAGCAACTAAAATATTAATTTTTCATGGGATTATTACAATTAAGTCTATTAATGATGAAGTTATTATTGCTAACTCCATTAAATGAATAAAATTCTCTTAAAGTCTATGTATGAGAACTTATTTATTGATAAGTCAAAACATAGATAAAAAGTTATTTTTACCCATCTTCATCTCTCCCTTCTCCATTGTAGTGTTTCCTCACTCTCACCCACACCATAACCCTTATCCCTCCCCTAAATACATGGTTTTGCTACCTTTGGCAGCGTCTTTCCCTTTTAAAACTGTTAATCAACCTCAAGTCAATGAAATGTTAGATGGGTGAATAGATATGGGTGAATAGATATGGATATCCAGAAATTATATATATTCAAAATAAAAGAAAAATCAAAGCGTTATACAGAAACCATATATATATGGATATATATATGTATAGAGAGAATGAGAATGGGAGAGTAAAGAGGGAAAGAAATGGCAACTGGGTTGTTGGATGGATTTGCTACAGTAAGAGAGGGAGAGGTGCTGCCGGTAACAAGGGAGGGATTAGGGCAGTAGTAAAGGTGAAGGGATGTATATGGCCAAAAACTGACCCATTTTTATTTTTGACTAATTAGTAAGAAGTGTTTTCCATAGACTTTAAAAGAAAATTTTAAATTTGATAGAATTAATTAAAATAAATCAACTATTTATTGACCTAAGTGAAATAATCCCATTTTTCATTTGTTTTAAGCAACCAGTGAGGTATGCTAGTTGTTATACTTGCAACAATTGAAAAGGGGTAGTGTATTATTTGAATTAATGCTTCATTGAGGCTATTCATGATGAGGCTGTTGCATTATATTGGACTTTCTGTACGAGCAGTGTCACTTTTAAAATTAATCAGTCTATGCTTGAAGGCAAGATGAGATTTACATGTTAAAGAATTCCTTCAGGGTGATGGAAGACAAAAACATGTTGGCCGGATCTTGGAATTTTTTAAAACAACAGATGGCGACAATTGTTTCAGGGTTCAGTGGTTTTATAAAGCTGAAGATACGGTGAGCACGTGGATTTTGTTAAATTTTCCTTCATGCCATATAAGTTATAACTTTGCCAAAATAATTTATTATTATTTATTTGTTTATTTTTTCTTTTTTCTTCAGGTTATGAAAGAAGAAGCTGCTTTCCATGACAAGAAACGTTTATTCTATTCTACTTTACTGAATGATAATTTATTAGATTGCATTATTTCAAAAGTCAGTGTCATTCAAATAGCTCCAACGGTATGCAGTGTAAGTTTGTAGTTCTTGAATAAATGCCTTGATTTATGCCTCATCTATTTATTTTTCTCAAAAGTCTTGCAGGCATTTTCCTTATCCATGCACCCTTTTGTTAATGTCCCATGCCATATGGTTGTGTTCATGATTTCGTGATTTGCAGCTAGGTTTGCAACCATACTCTGTTCCACCATCTGACTTTTATTATGATATGGAGTACTGCGTAGAATATTCAACATTTCGCACCTTAATGACCAGTAAGAGTTTTAATAGTGTTTATGGTATTAGTCTGTGACATAAACAGTGCTAGCATTTCCTAGTGATCGTATTTTGTACTATTCTTATGTCCTTGGGATCTATTAGCAGTCCCTAAAAATAATAAGTTTAATTCCTTTTTGTTTTTTTTTCTCTGTATGTTTGCATTCTTTCCTTTTTTCTTTCTATATATTATATTTGCGATATTTCCTTGGCTATGGGTTTATGAAAAATGCTAGCACTTCCACAAACAAGATTAAATTGATTTCCAATTAAAATCCTTGAAACTATTTCACCAAAAGAGCAACATTCCCTCAGATGAATCTGTGCAGAGTTATGACTTACCTACATCCGATGACATTGAGGCTTTCCGTTCCTTGATCACTGCGACTCCTTTGGGGGATAAGCCCAGTTGTGAACCTTACAAAGCTGAGTTGGCATTGTTAGATCTTTACTCTGGTTGTGGTGGAATGTCAACTGGATTGTGCCTAGGTGCCAAACTTTCGAGTGTTAATCTTGTGACGGTAAAATTAAGTTTCATTGTCAATTGTTGATTTATTGTTAGCTGTTTTGTATATTCCACAGCATTAGTGTCTTACGGTTTGACATTTATTTTAGCGTTGGGCTGTTGATGCTGATAGATCTGCATGTGATAGCTTGGAACTGAATCATCCAGAAACACAAGTGAGTATTTCTTATATTGTGTTAGATCACAACCAAGTTGGTGATGTCCACTACTCTTCAGAGGCAATATCCAATACTTCTATGATTCTTTCTATAGGTTAGGAATGAAACTGCTGAGGATTTTCTAGAACTTTTGAAGGGATGGGAAAAGCTTTGCCAGTGGTATGTGTTCAATAATTTAGACAGACCATTTAAATATAGAGCAGAAGCCAAGAGAGAAGTCAAAAGCAATGTAAATTCTCCGTCTGATGTTAAGATTGCTTCTGGAGAATATGAAGTTTTGCGCCTAGTTGATATTTGTTATGGAGATCCCTGCAATACAGGCAAGCAGGGGCTAAAATTTAAGGTACCTCCACAAGTATGACATAAGTATGTATGTAAATGTCTCTGTTTCTCTCTCTCTCTCTCTCTCTCTCTCTTCAAAGAGCTCAATGGGATTCTTTTTACCTTTACAAGTTCAAGATGTCTTTGTTTCAATATCTGCATGCCGAGTATAAATTCAGTAAATAAAGTTATTTAAGTAGTTGTCAAGACAAGTTATTTTACTGCTATACATGATGTTATATATATATTATTGGGTACTGGTGAACTGATGATCTTTGCTATCATCCTTGCATTTGTTTGTCCTTCATGTGGCAAAAGATTAGCATATGTCTTGTTTACAATCAAATATTATAACTAAGGTGTCTCGCCAAATCTCCCTATAGTAAACTTCACTTTATGTTCCTCGTCCTTGTTTGAACCTTTTGTTTGTTGAAGATGATTTTCACTTATAGTTATTTTATTAGGTTCGCTGGAAGGGATATAGTTCGGGTGACGACACCTGGGAACCAATTGAAGGATTGAGGTTAACACTTGTTATCTTTGGATAATAATAAGAACAAGAACAAGGACTAATGACGATAACAGTAATGGCATGAGAATAACAGCAATGACAACACAAAAAAGAAACTATTTTAACTTGTTAATGTGATTGTTGTTCTTTTTTCTTGTCATCATCACTGTTATTATTGTTCTTGGTCGGTGACTTGGTGTGTTGTTACTTACAAAAATATTTGTCTCAGTAATTGCCAAGAACGAATACAAGATTTTGTTCAAAGTGGAATTAAACATAAAATCTTGCCACTTCCGGTAAGTTTCTTTTTCTAGTTTTATTTACTTGAAGCTGATTAGAGTTAGAGTATTCACTTTATTTTAAATTTGTTGGCTTTAGTGTCTAATTTTCCCCAAATGGATTAATATAATCCAGGGTGATGTTGATGTGCTCTGTGGGGGCCCTCCATGCCAAGGAATTAGTGGATATAATCGCTTTAGAAATGTTGATGCTCCGTTGGATGATGAAAGAAATCGTCAAATAGTTTTCTTTATGGACATTGTGAAGTTCTTAAGGCCTAAGTATGTCTTGATGGAAAATGTTGCCGACATTTTAAGGTTTGATAAAGGTTCTCTTGCAAGATATGCATTAAGTCGTCTGGTACATATGAACTACCAAGCAAGGCTTGGAACTATAGCGGCCGGCTGTTATGGTCTTCCACAATTTCGGTTGCGTGTTTTCTTGTGGGGTGCTCTTCCTACTGAGGTGATTGTCCTCTCATTGTTTCTCAGACTACATAAATGAACTCAACACCTCACTCCCTTTCCCGTGATAATCAATTGGTATGAAAAATAAAGCACTTTGAAAATGCTATATATTACAGTAATGAACAATAGCATTTTGTAATGCTGTTCATCTAAAGGCTATGTTGAAGCTAACTAATAGACTCGTTTGAATGGTACATAATATTGAATTTAGTGATTTTGTTTCCACTTGGTGTACAAGCAAGCACTTCATGGGTGTCTTTTGTCTTGCAGAAACTACCCCAATTTCCACTTCCTACACATGACGTTGTAGTTAGATATGGGTCACCATCTGAGTTTGAGGTAATACTTTAACGTAGATGGGCAAATTGGATTTTCTGGTCCTGTTTTTATTTTTTTATCTTTGAACGCGCAACGATCTTCATGTTGCAGAGAAATATTGTAGCATATGATGCAGGCGAACCTCGCGAACTTGAAGATGCTGTCCTTCTCCATGATGCCATCTCTGATCTTCCAGCTGTATTCTCATCATATTTAATTTTAGTTGGTTTGCTGTTTTATACAATTTCGCTATTTTCTCATCTAAATTTATACTTCAGGTTACAAACCATGAAACTCGTGAGCAGATTACATACGAAATGCCTCCGGAAACAGAATTTCAAAAATATATAAGGTTAACCAAAGATGGTAATAAAATTATCTTTTAAAGGCAGAATGCAAATCTAATCTTGATATTGTGGTTCTTAAACTGAAGTTTGAATATTCTGCTGTACAGCTTCCTGTTGTGGACAATTGCTTTTGACTTTGGTAGTTGTTTTTGTGATACATTAATGTGGACTGATTTAATGGTCATATGCAACCTGGATGATGCAGTTAACATTGATATTGTCTTAAAGTTGGAAAATTTCAGAACTCAGGCCATTATCATTCATCTGATCTTCCCATTTTTGTGCATGTTACGTAGCTGATCTAATGGATTTAGTTGTAGTGTTTCTGCTTTGTATGAATGAGGTGCAATTGAAAAATATAGCCATGTCTTGCTATCCTTAGACATGAGCTTTAGATGGATCCAACACCCTAGACACATACGACGCATCCAACGTCCTGCTCGAATCCATGTAACATTGCTATCGTAACAGCCACTACTGACTGTAGGAAGGTGCATTCTGTGAACTCAGTAAATGAATGGATTATTTTTAAAATTTCAAGGAGCGATGACAACCACATACTCTGCTACTTTACCAGATTCAACTCTAATTATGATATTCATTTGATATATAATGTCTTTCATTTGGTAGAGAATGCATAGGGTTTCACTTAATTAAAGCCACACCACAGCTTTCTCTATGTTAGGACTTCAATAGGTGAGTGTTTGTTAAATCACTTGTATATAGGTTCTTAGTTTATATTAACGCTGCTTTTGTTTGTGGGGAATCTATATTCTGCAATAATTTACACGTTCCTTCAAAATGAGATGACTGAGCTGCTGTATTGTGCATAGATTATAAACAACCCTTTTTTATTTCCACATACGTAATATGCATTGGAAGAAATAGAGAGATTGTGGGGCTCGTTATTGACCAATATATTTCTTGTTCTTTTCCCTGATTTGTCTAGAGATGATGGAATTTGCTAAAAAGGGAGTTATAGGTGCAAAAAAGCCTATATTATATGACCATCAGCCTTATCAATTGTCTGAGAATGATTATTTACGAGTTTGTCAGATTCCACACAAAAAGGTTTGATTAATTTTTTTACATCAATGTTTGAGCTTTTAGGCCTCTTTTGATTCTTTATTTATTAATTTTTCAGGGTGCGAATTTTAGAGACTTCCCTGGCTTGGTTGTTGGAAGTGATAATGTGGTTCGTCGGGATCCAACAAAGGAGCAAACGATGTTACCGTCTGGAAAGCTAATGGTGAGCAATTTGTTGTTTTTCTTTAGAAAGAGGATGCTATCATTGTCATTTTACTTTCTATTCCATGCAAAACTAAATGTGAAGTCTCTCTGGTAAGCAAGTGTTTCATTAACAAAAAGAAAATATTACAATATAGCTCCAGACATGTACCTTAGTTACTTACAGCTTGTAGAGACACAAACTTTGAACGAGAGAACAAACAGGACCCAACCTAGCCTAAAATAAAAAACCAGTCACAAGGTAGAGTGGGAGAGAAGGGCAGACCTGGTGTAGCGGTAAAGCTACCCGTTGGTGACTTGGTGGTCATGGGTTCGAGTTGCGTAGACAGCCTTTCTGCTTGCAGGGGTAAGGTTGCGTACATCAACCCTTCCCCAGACCCTGCTTAAGCACGAGTTTCATGCACTGGGTACGCCCTTAAGGTAGAGTGGGAGAACAAAACAAACACAGCAAATGAATAATAACAAACAGCAACCACAATACCCTGCTATAAATGGCTTCACACACTACACCAACATGTGATGTGGTGTACTTATTGCAATGTAGCAGTTGGGCATCAAACAATCTCATAACACCATGCATGAAATGGTTGCCAACTTAAAGATACACACTCAAGCTAAGCAAAGCCACCTGACACATGTACCCATCAAAATCACAGTCTCACAATAGTGTGCACTGAACTATGCAATATAGTTGTCTATAGCTGCACTGTAAATTAAACCAAACCAAGTCAAGCCTTAAGTTTCATCAAATGGGGTCACCTGCATGAATCCTTTTTCTCTACTCGACTCTATAAAATTTGCAATGTGGAAAATGTTGGGACAATCTTCTGTGTACAATAAATAAATTGAAACTAAATCAAACAAATAAAATAAATAACATACTGAATTTATTTTACCGAACCGAATGAATAATAAAAAGATTAAGTCGAGTGTTTGACACTCTGTCCTTAAGACAGATTCGCCCCCGCTACGGTGCTTACGGATAAGTGGCGTCTATCACCCAGAATACAATGATCTTCACAAATTGTAGTGGCACTCCAAACAACTTGTACGGCGAACAAAACTTTGTGTTCTGTACTCTCTTTAATTTTCCTAAAAATAATATGAAGATAATTTATGCAAAGGAACAAAACCGGATAGCAAAATGATGATTTTCGGATTTGAAAAAATATGCTGGAATGTCTAGGAATTTATTGGAGTGAACAGGTTTAATTATTCAAACTGAACAGGTGGAATTTGAATCCAACAGGTGCAGAACAGTTTAAACAGATAACTGCTGGGCAGTTTATACCTGTTGGAAAAATTGTTGGCAGATTTGAATTTGTCTGGCAGTTTTAAATCTGCTCGGGCTCCAACAAATCTGAAAACTGTTTGGATTGTTTAACCAGTTTGGAAAATTGAATTGGAAGAGGAAACAATGGACAGAAAATTAAATTCAAGTTTGAATTAATTTCGTTAAGAATTTTTGAAAAAAATAAATAAATTTCCTCAAAAAAATTAATATTAGAACCGACTCGACCCACAACCCACACCTGCGCTAGGCCCGCCGGAGGTGGCACGCGTGTGGTGGTTTAGGCTAAGGTTCACTTTGTTCATAACTTCTCCGTTCTACAAACTTGGGGTGCTCCTTGGGGCCCAACCCAAGTTAGTACACCAAGAACTTATATACTCAAAAAAGTTCTCTTAAAGTTTTAATGTGGGACAACTTATACAAGGAAACTCACATTTAGTTCTTCAAAAGTCCAATTCCACGAACCTGAAAACGACGTCAAGTTCCTATTCACTCATAAATGATTTTGACGAACCGTTTTTACCGTGTGACTTGCCACGCGGCAAGGAACACGTCGTTTCTTCGGACTCATCCCAAAAGACGTGTGGGACCCTCTCTATTTTGGGCTCAAAGTTGGCTCCAAATAAGCCTATAAAATCCAAATTTCCAACAGAAAATTGATCGAAAGTGTATAATGGGTTTGGAAAATCGCTGAAATGTATTAAAAAGAAATGTGCCACAGCTGAATATTGGCCTTCATGAAATGGGAGCATTGTTGTTCTGCCTCTTGCTAAAACAAGCAGTTGATTAGAACAGGCTGGGGTTAATGATACTAATCAAAATTGTCTTTTGTTTACTTATAGGTACCAGAATACGTCCTCAATGTTGAAGAAGGGAAATCTAGAAGGTGTGTTGCTTCTTTTTAAAATCCTTTCTGATATTTATGTTTGTGCTCTAACTGATCAAAGTTTTGGGTATATTGACAGACCATTTGCAAGATTATGGTGGGATGAAACAGTGGCAACTGTAATTACTTTTCCTTATGTTCGCTGTCAGGTACTTTCTTGCTAGTGCTTTTCTTTTTAATTAAATTGAAGGAATTATTCAAAGCAAGAACACTTATCTATAAATATTTTTTTTAAGGCAATATTACATCCAGATGAGGACAGAGTCCTCACTATCCGAGAATGTGCAAGGTTGCAAGGCTTCCCTGATTTTTATAGGTTCTGTGGGTCAGTTAAACAAAGGTATGAATATTTATCTTCCAAGAGAAATAGGGTTGATGTTGGACTCTTTTTCAATCCTTCAACAAATCTTTTGGGATTTTCTTTTGAGCAAAAATTTTGTAATAATTATATGCGAGTCGACACATGCTCTGTGAATGTAAAATGATAAAATGAAAGATGGTTCAATAGGTTGTTCGGTAACAAAGTTGTGCCAACTTCTCGGCGTTTATGCTTTCAGCTGCAATAACTACAGGGTGAAAGCAAAGAACATCCAAAAGTTCATAGGCTAAGCTTTCTCCCACATAAAAAGTGCAAAACAAAACATGACAACATATTTGGTATTTGGCCTTTTGGTTTTGCATCCCTTTCTCATATATAGTCATTGATAGAGCAAAATGGCCAAAAAAAAAAGAAAAAAAAAATCAACACCACTTGATTGGGACACAAGTCTTGGTTTGGTTTGGTTGAGTTCTACAACAGTTATTTATGGTTTTTGCAGGTACCGTCAAGTTGGAAATGCTGTAGCTGTTCCTGTTGCACGAGCCTTAGGATATGCCCTGGGAATGGCCTTTCGAAAGCGTGGTGGGAATGAACCACTCATGACCCTACCTCCCAAGTTTGCCATCCAACGATTTCCAACTGACGAAATTCTTCTACCATGAACACATTAATATTTATTGTATTCAATTCATTGCCATAATGTGACAGTGATAAGCATCAAACCCTGTCATTGTTGAACTGTCTGCATAATTTTCAAATTTACCTTTTCATGAATATGGTTCAATGATGTGTAAATTTATGTACTCTGGTCGTCCAAGCAGCACAATGGTCTGCTTCCCATTGCTTTAGCCGTTTTAAATGAGAGAAATTTATTACAGAATTTGTTTCACTTATTTTACATTTTGGGTGTGTTTGATTGGACGGGCTGGATAAGGGGATTAGAATCCATCGGATTTGAGTCTTGGGACTGTGAATCTCCTGGACAATTTGGTTGGATTGGATATGTATCCTGTGTTTGTTTTTTCATGGGATTAGATGTTTAGAAAACATTATTTTTAGTGAATCAAGCGTTTGGTTGGACGGACTGGATAGGATAAATGAACAAAGGATTATTTTACCCTTTGTTAATTGTTTACTAAGTAATAGCAATATTAAATATATCTTTAATATTTTAATTTTTTAGCTAAATTAAATAAAATTTTATCTTATTTTATTTTTTACACAATTAAATAAATTTATTTTTTTAAAATAAAATAAATAAAATATCAATAAAAATGTATGTTTTATTTTTAATTAAAATTTTAAATAAATTTATTTTTAAAAATAATAATAATTAAATAATGAAATTAAATAAAACATCTAATAAAATTTAAATAAATTATAAACAAAATTTTAAGATAAAATATCAATTAAATATCTATAAAAAATTATTTAAAAAAATTAAATAAATAAAAAATCCATAAAAAGTTAAACAAAATTATTTTATTTTTAAATTGAGACATTTAAATTTTATTGAATTTTACTAAATATAATACATAATTAAATAGTAAAGGGTCAAAATGATCATTTCATCACCTAATCTCAATAGTGAATAGTTCTCCAAAAATTGTCTCAGACCCCCCTTAGGATACAATAGTCCCCTATATGGGGGATAAAGAGTTCGGCCAGCGGACTAAAAAAAAAACAAACGCCGAATAAAGAGTCTCTCCTGAATTACAATCCTAATAGTAAATAATCTCCTATTATCCCCTCAATCAAACACACTCTCCATGTATTCATGTCATAAAAATATGTTGGCGTGACCTTGCATTATTGTTTCTGTGTTAGAAGTTTAAAATCACGTCATACTTGGAGAAGTTATAGTAGAGTAGAATGGAGGTAAATGTTTTTGTGATGAATATTGAAGTTTTACATTCCAATTCCATCAATGAGATGATGACTAAGAATATAATTATAGATATTAGTTGGTATATTAATTAATGAATTAACGGATGATGTGACATAATTTTAGAAGTTTTAAGCCTGTGTACTTTGTATAAAAAGTGAGATTTATAGTTTTGAAATGATAATTAATACATTAATTGGTCCGTGTAGTATCATAGTGTGTTGCAATAATTCTCTAATGTTGTATTTGATTAGGGATTTGAGAAGAGATTTAAAAAGGGAAATGAAAAATATAAGTGAAATGAGAATAAAATATATTTATCTTTCATTAGTTTCACACATCTTTTCTCTTTTTTCTTTTTAAATTTTTCTTCAAATCCTTCAACTAAACACAGTATAAATGCAATCCGAATTTTCTATATTTGGAAAATGATTTACAAATGTTTTATACAAAAAAAAAGAAAAGAAAAGAAAAGAAGGGGTAATTCATACCTAACGGCCATGAGAAATATCACAATAAAATATATGGGCTAATGTATTGAGAGAATTTTGTTGATTTTTTTTTTAAAAAACTTTCTATATATATACAGTGGTTGACCCGATTAACGCATCGGAGTCCGGTCCTTTAAAAAATAACCAAGACCCGAACCCGATAACCTGATTTAAAGAACAAACCAGTTCCAAATTCCAATCCCCATAAACCCTTCTCCTAGGGTTTAAGCTCGACGCATTTTCTAACCTTCCAAACACCTCACAACAAAACTCCCAATTCTCTGCAATTCACTCTCTTCCCCATCAATGGCCACTCTCACCAGGTTCTTGCTATCGAGAAACACAATCCGAAGTCTCTGCCAATCACTCCAACCTCGTTTTCCCACTGATTCTCCCGCTGTTTCCCAATTCCTCAGAAGCCTACATTCCTTCGTTTCCCGAGAATTCCAATTCGATTCCCACAAATTCCGTCATGAAAATTCTAGGGCCATGTCCTCCGCACCCAACTACGAGCCTGAAGACTCGGCTGCATCCCTCGCCGCCGCTCTGAACCTCGATAATCGCGTCCCAGCTACCATCATCACCGGCTTTCTCGGCTCTGGAAAGGTCTGAGTTTTTTTCCTTGATTTATGGTTGCTTTTGAGATTCTGGAATTATGAATTCAAATTTGTGTTTGGTTGATGCGAAAATTGGGAAATGAAAAAGGAATGGTTTTTAGAAATATATATATTTTTTCGCTATTGCAGGTCTTTTTGCTTAACAAAGGACTTTTTTTGAATTTAGTACGTTGATATCTTGTGTTCCTACTTTTCTCAAATGAAGTTTTTTCATATGGCAGACCACTCTGTTGAATCATATCCTCACAGCTCAACATGGAAAACGGATTGCTGTCATTGAAAATGAGGTACCGGGTTTATCTGTATTCAAACTCAAAATTTGTGGATGTGGAGTACTTATAATTGTTGATCTCCCAAGAGTCCCCCTCTTCTTTTGAGAATTACTGTATCTTTGATTATGGGAAACTCATTCATGAGTGTAAGTATAAAACTTTACATCTACACATTTTCTTGCAAAATCATTGATGAGAAAATATTTAACAACTTTCTCCCTGTTGCCTGCTTGAAAGGAAGAAGAAAAGAGAAAGGAAAACCCATTTCATATGCAAAAGAGTTTCTCTATTGAAAAGAAATGGGATAGGGAATTGACGATTAGTTTTATGTATTTTTTTCAAGCTGTGACTGCCGACGAAACTTGGTAGTCTGTAGGAACTTCAAAAATCTCTAAAAGAAGTTAAGATTCAGTTTTGTGCAACTGTATTTTTTGAGGCTAAGGGTGTTTGGCACTTTGTTGCTGAAGCTTTAAAGGAGCTACAACTGAGGACCTGCTTAACCACTCCAGATCCACTTCAACAAAATCCCATAGTGTCCACATGGTTTTCCCCATGGAGAAAAACAATAGAATTTGGAACTAGCCAAAGATACAGCTTTTAGTGATTTGTTGCCTGTATAATAATGGGCACCAATGCATCATCTAGTCACTGGGAGATGGTGTCATGGGCAATGTTTCCATTCACCCAGCTGGGGGAAGAAAAAGAAGATGCTTTTGTGAGTGGTCATTATTTACTTTTGTAAGAGGGGTTCCCTTGAGCCCATTAAATTAATTGGACCCAATTGGAAATCCCAAAAATTAATGGGTCCCGAGAAATTATTGCCAAATGGACCCAAGTGAAGTCTGTTGAATGGGCTCACAAGAAAGTCAACAAATTGGGCCGAGGAGGACCCATCAAGTATATATCTCTAACAAGAGCCCAACAAGCTCATCCGAGGAGGCCCAGATCATACGGGCGTCCGGAGAGGTTAACCGTTGCTTTCAAAAGAGATGAAACCCTTAGAGGAGATCCATTCTCTGAAGTATTTGCTTAGTCTTGAAAGGGTTTAGAACCATGAACCTAGACACCTATTTGAGCTTGGACTCGAAAGGGTTCGGATCCACGAACTTAGAGATCCGAAGCATTTGGCTTCGAACGGATTTGATCGCAATTTAGAAGGCGCTCCGTTAATGAGTCTCAGAACACTTGTGGGTTCGGAACTTTTTGGGATCGACACACTAGAACCATGGGTGTGACGGAGTCCGAACAAAGGACCCGATCCCGAGGACCGAGAGTGGAGATAAATTCACTTTTCGGTTAAACTAGCTTATACCTGGGTCGAGGTGATACGATTTAGGAGGCCCCTAAGACTAGGCAATATTTGTGGTAGGGCATTCTCTTGAACTACTCCTGACCCTTTTGCGGTAGGGTGTCTTTTGGGACTACCCCTGACCGCTTGGGATGATTGAGGATCATTGGTTAGCTGTGGCTAAGAAGAAAAGTTCGCTGAGAGGTTGATCTTCTCTTTGGGATTTTTTTCATCCTCGGAGAGGTCACCTCCTTGGACAAAGTAATTAGAGAGAATATTCCCCATGTATCTTGCACATGGACTACATCCTACATCATGAGACGCCTATAAAAATTTTGGAGATAAATTTTTTAGGAAAGAACTAACTTTCCTTCTCCATTATCCACCATGAGAGTGCAAGTGGGAGATCCATGAGAGAGCTTTGCCATTATTCGCTCTCTAGTTACTTTGCCTTCTTCTTCACCCAATTTTTTATCTTCATCATCTTTTTGCTATTGTGTTTTTAATTGCGACCGTTGAAGTATCTAAGCCTCTCACAATTTCTAGAGAATTCAGATTTTCCAACGATCTTCGAATTTTCCGACAAGCCTTCGAATTTTCCGGCAACATTCTCGGACTCTCTCATACAACTTTAAACAAGTTTTGATTGTCGATTAAGTTTGTGGAGAAAATGCACACATCATCGGCGGAGACCAATTTCTTGTTTTCCCAAAAATGAAGTTATTACTTTACTGCTGGCTAGTTCCAAATTCAAAGCTGTATCTTTGGTGATTTTCTATCTTGGTTCATTTTTTTTTTTTGCTTGTTAGGAAGGCTGACTATGCTCTGGTAGTATATATTACTTTAAACTACTTGTTTGATGAAAAGATTAGCATTATTGGAGGTGTGAAGGTAGTTGTTTTAAAGATATCTTTTAAGCAATTCCGCTGAGCATGTAGCAACTAATGACAGCTATGTGCTTTAGTATAATACTAAATAAATGGTTCTGATTTTGTTCTTGGTATTACTTTGTTCCTGACTTCCTTTCTTATTTTTCTTATTGTTTATTCTATTGCAGTTTGGTGAGGTGGATATTGATGGTTCATTAGTTGCTAGTCATTCCTCTGCCAATGAAGAAATCATTATGGTTAATAATGGCTGTCTGTGTTGTACTGTGCATGGTGATCTTGTTAAAATGCTTTTGGAGTTGGTTAAGAAGAAGCGAGACAAATTTGATCACATTGTAATAGAAACAACAGGTATCTTAATTTTCTATCCAAATACAAAGGCTTTGGCATACACATCCTCTAACAGTTTATTTGTCCGCAAGTTCTCATATATGTATGTATTATTTAGCCTCCCTTGTATTTGTACAAATTATAGTAGTTATTTATTTATTTATTTTTTTTTATGAGTGAAAGTCAGTTGTTAGTAGTTAGATTAACACCTATGGGAGTTAGCCTCTCCACCTTTGCAAAGTTTGAAGTGCTTGCCTCCTAATTCAACTCTGTCTTAGGGAGAGTTGAACCCATGACCTCCCCTTTGGGACTAAGTCCTTAGGAGAGTCATGGTGGCTAACTAGACTAAGCCTTATAGTTGACTGCCACATTTCTATATATGGCCTGTTGAATGGGCAACTTGACTGAATCCAAAAAAGGCCTTCTATGATGGATCTTGATTTATTTATTTTAAAATTGTTTCTGCTTTGCAGTTTGTAAAAAATAATTATTTTTCATTAGTCTTGTTGAAGGCATATAAACTTGAAGAAATCTGAAGATTTTGATTTTCCCCCTCAAGCTAAAGCTTTGTGGTGAATCAGTGATATGAAGTCTTTTCTGGAGGAAATAAGTTGGTTCCATTCCGTGTTTATGTTTGATAAGCGAAATATATGTATATAAAACTAGTTGAAAGTACACTTGAAGTTGAAGTTGGTTTTATGACGATTAGTATTATCACATCCTAGTTGGCAGTATTGGGTGATACTTAAAAGTACACTTGCTTACTCCCTTAGAGGCTGGTATTAACGGTTTTGGTACATTTATTCATTAACGCACTTTTTACAGGCCTTGCAAAGCCTGCTCCTGTCATTGAAACATTCTGCACTGATGAACTAGTTTCACGTTATGTGAAACTTGATGGAGTTGTTACTTTGGTTGACTCTAAGCATGTCATGCAACGTTTGAATGAGGTGAAACCAAGATTTGTGGTGAATGAGGCAGTGGAACAAATTGCTTATGCAGACCGTATTATATTGAATAAGGTAAAATTAGATTTCTTCCACTCAACAATCAGATCCCTTACTTTCCTTTGCTCAATCTGATTCAACAATAGTGACTTATATTTGGTATCCACGTGGACACTCTACTCCTATATTGATGCCTTTATTGCTTTTTCTTTTTTTAACCAATGTTGGCAGATAGATTTGGTGACTGAGGCTGAGTTGGAGAGTTTGACTAATCGAATTAAGGTAGGTTTTCTCTCTGTGCCTATATAGATTTGTCCTATGGTTTCAATATGAACTCTGCAGTGAAGTGGGAGCCCTGGCAGCTTTCTGAGTCTATGTTTAGAGAAACTGCTTTGGTCTGGTGTGAAATGTAGTAGAAAGCAGTTGCTGTCTATTGTTTTTTCGACTCCATGAAAATAGTGCTTCTGGTAATATCCTATTTCTATGAAAGTGCATAGTTTATGATTATGTCCAAACACACATACACAACTTTTTGAGCACAAATAGTTCAAAATATTTATCAATCTATATTCATGTAATGTGTCAACTGGTTGATGAAAGTCTCTCTGTTTGCCTATCCAAGAAAAGAAAAAGAAAAAAAAGGAGTCTATGTTTGTACTGTAAATGGGATATTAAAAAGAAGTACAATAAAATTTCAATTATGAAGTATAGTACACGTGTCCAGCAGTGATACTTGTTGGACTTGTGCTGACAAGCATTAGATACATCCAAACATAGTCTAATTTTTAGAGCTTTTAAAAATTGGACATCCTTCATAATTGAAATTTGGACTTGTGCTGACAAGCATTAGATACATCCAAACATATTCTAATTTTTAGAACTTTTAAAAATTGGACATCCTTCAAACACAAACGGGGCATGCATGCCTATTGCCTGGACAACTATGAGAAACTTCTAGGGTCTTCGCACAAGATTAAATGAACTAATTCTCCCATTTGTGTGCTTTTAATGTACAGTGATTCCTGCACCCACTTCTTTAGACATGCTATTCATTTTACAACTTCTGGATTTTTGGTGCTCTTTCCAGCATATCAATGGGATGGCACAAATAAAGCTTGCTAAATATGGTGTTGTTGACATGGACTTTGTTTTGGGAGTGGGTGGTTATGATCTTGAAAGGTGATTGTGATCTTTCGTTTTCATTCTTATTTTGGTAAAAAAGAAAAGAAGGAAGTTTATGCATAGCTGTTTTCTCCGTTCCCTGGTGTGGTCAGCAAAGACAAATTTTATGCATATTTATCCATTTCATTAGTGTACTGTGAAATCATATTGTTTGACATGTAAACATAAATTGGGTGTTGCAGAATTGATTCAGAAGTCCAGTTAGACAGTTCTCCTTGTGCTACACATCAACATGACAGTGGGCATGGTATCATCTTCTATTTTGAAATTATTCCTCTCCATCACTCTCTCTCTCTCTCTCTCTCTCTCTCTCCAATTATTATTGTTATTATTTTTTGAGGGGTGGTATCATCTTCATTCTTCCTTCTGATTTTGAAAAAAGAATGGGAGTAATACATGTTTTAAAATATTCATGTTGTTGAATGCAGATCTATTCTAAACGTTGAGTTTTTTTGTTACAGAGATGTCTGCTGCATCTCATGTTGGCTGCATATCCTGCAAGCTTATGTGCAATTTGAATTTCTCTTGTAGTCCTCATTATGTTTGTTTTGTGAATTTTTGGTGGGCTTTGGTTAAACAGATTTCATTTTGAGTACATACAGACTACAGTACTTTGACTATTGTTATTTTGCTCCCCCTCCAGTATCAAGTAAGGTAGTGGGGTGGGGCATTATTATTTCCATTGCCCTGTATGTTCAAGACTGTAGGGCTAATGATAAATATGTTCCTTGTGGTATTATTATCAGTATTACCGTCTATAGCATTTTCTGACAATTTTTAATACGGTGAGGTGAACTGGGCAAGTGTTAAAATATTTCCAACTGATTGTTTTGTGGTCCAAGCTCGAATTGTTGTCCTTTCAAATCAAATTACAAGAAGAGCTATTGTGCAGAATATATATCATGATTGGAACCTTTCTGATGATTTATTTGTTTAGCCTGTTGGTAGGGTTTTCGTAACCTTAGTGGATGTCTAGTATTGCTTATTTACTTCCAGTTGTAATTTATTCATTAATGACTTTGTAGTAAATTATCAAGTCGTACTATACAATCTGGAATGAGTTTCTAGAGACAGAATTCCAGTTCTCATATATTTTATCAACTCATTTTTGGTTTATTTCTTCTCAACAGAACACCACAAAGGACATCATCATGACCATAAACATGATTCTGCTGTTTCCAGTGTCAGTATTGTTTCCGAGGATACACTTGATCTTGACGAGGTAAGAAGTACTATCAGGATTGTTAAATAGTTGTCAAATGTTTACTGAACATTTTTATATATCTTTTCATGATTAGGTGAAATATATGTACGGCATTCTATACTCTATATGAAATCAAATTAATTCCTGTTTTTTGGTGGCTCTCTTTTTGAGTTTGCTGTTAAATAGCAGAGAGCTTGTAATTGGAGAAGCATTGGAGTCCATGTCTAGTGTTCCAAATGAGTTGTTTAGTAACTACAATTCTTTTATAGACTGGTTTAGGTTGTTTCAACTTATGCTCTAATCCATTCTGTTAGGTTGATGATTGGCTTGAACGAATAATTGAAGAAAAGGGGGACGACTTGTACAGGATGAAGGGGGTTTTATCTGTGAACGGTTCTGATGAGCGTTATGTTTTTCAGGTTCAAATCCATTTTATCGCATTGGATTTTTCACCATCATTTTACTTGTTTACTTAGTGCCTTGAGTAGAAATCAAACTTAATCAAATGTGTTGTGTTTACTTGTTTCCTTCAGGGAGTGCAGTCCATGTTGGATGGTTGCCCCGGCAAAGCTTGGGGACCTGATGAGAAGAGGATAAATAAACTTGTATTTATAGGTCGGAACTTGGACGAAACTGCACTCAGAAAAGGTTTCAAGGGTTGTGTAGTGTGAGTACAAGTTGGAATGTGACATATGAGTAAACAATGAATGAACTTCACAAATTAAGCCACCATGCTATGACACTTCTAGTCATCATCATTGATGCATTTGTCTGTTTCATCCACTGGTCTGGTTTGGTGATGAACAGAGTTAGCCGACGTCTTAGTCATGTATGCACATCAAACTGTACATGTTCGGTTCAAGAGAAGTATGGATCCTCTCTCTCTCTCTCTCACTCTCTCTCTCTCTCTCTCTCTCTCTATATATATATATATGTAAAATTGTTGAGATTGAGCATAAAGGGAAACCATGAGCTTTATGGAAGCTCCACTCATTCTTGTGTTATTTTTTATCCAAATTGTATATGGTTCTTGTCCTTTTCATCTACTTGATATCTTGTTGAGATCAAATTGAAAGATATCATTCTGTTAGTATTTGTTCACTCATCAACAAAAACCAAATTCTTGAAGCTGAGAGCTAAAAGATTTGTTGTTGATCCAACCAAAGATATTGCAAATAATATTGTATATCAATTATTTTTTATATAATATTTAGTTTATGATTAGATGCGATAAATTCATGACAATTATCTTCACTAGCTTTGAAAAGAAAAATGATAATATAAAAGCTTCACCTTTCGGCCTGCCTTTGTTCTAGCTTCGCCTTTTGTGACCCATCTCCCCTGCCTCCTCTTTTTCTTCTTGGATGGACCACTTCACAAAAAGTCATCCATACACATTCTCTAGTAATTATTTCAATGTTCAATCACAGAAAAAAAAGAAAAAGAAAAAAAGGTTGGACCAAATAAATATTTTGTTTTTATAAATTTAATTTAAAAAATTGAGGAGGTAATTGAATTGTTTTTATCATTTAATTTCAAGTCATTCTCAAAAAAAGAAAAAAGAAAAAAAGAAGAGAATTTTCAAGCAGTTTCTTTCGAAGTATCGAGACATTATTAGTGTTACATTAATTTATAATTTTCTTATTTATATTATATTTTTAAAGAAAAAAATGAGAATCTCATTTTCCTAATTTCACTGTCAAGGTTTTCAATTTTGCTTTTTTTTTTCAAATTTATTTTAATCATAATGAATTAGTGAGACTAAAGTTAACATAAGTACTTGATAATTATTAGTTGAGATCTTCAACCATTACATTTGGTTTGGTCTCAAATAATTCATAATCAATTGCCAAGGAAAAAATAGAACCAATTGTCTCGTATTTATAACTAATCCACTTTGTTCATTATGGCCAATTAAGGTGGATTTTGACAATAATTTTTTTTATTAGACATTTTAGAAGTTAAAAAAGTAGTGCTTTTATAATTATTAAAAGAATATTTGTGAAAATTGATTTTTTTTTTTGGTTGTTGTAGTTTTTTAAGGTTGTTTAGTAAATAGACTTTTGATTTTTTTAATTAAGAAAAACAGCTGAATTTTTACAAGTTACCAAACACAAAAGACTGAAGCCAAAGCTGATTAGTGTTATCAGTTATCTTTAAAATTTTTATGTGTTTTTTTTTGTTTTAAGTATTTTTAATTATTAAAATATGCAAAAATCTTTAAGCAACATAAGGTCAAGTTTGGAAAGATTAAATAAGTATATTTTTTGACTTTTTATGAAATATGGGTTGGATTTGGGTTGGGTTTGAAGTGATGTATTAGAGAGGTGATGTGATTTAAATAAGATGATGTGACTTAAATAGGATAGTGACTTTTTAACTTTTTGAATTTTTTAGAGGATGTCAAACTTGGCCTAAAAGTCAAAATATGATCCAATAATTAAAAATTATTATCAATTTGTTTCTCTCTCTTCATGGAAATGAGGGGTTGTTTGGAATGATCTAAATAAGTGTACCTTTTGACTTTTTATGAAATATGAGTTGGGTTTGAGTTATGTTTGAAGTGATATGTTAGAGATGTGATATGACTTAAATAAGATGATATGACTTAAATAGGATAGTGATTTTTTAATTTTTTGTCTTTTTTCAAACATGTCAAACTGTTATCAGTTATCTTTAAAATTTTTATGTGTTTTTTCTTGTTTTAAGTATTTTTAATTATTAAAATATGCAAAAATCTTTAAGCAACCTAAGGTCAAGTTTGGAAAGATTAAATAAGTATATTTTTTGACTTTTTATGAAATATGGGTTGGATTTGGGTTGGGTTTGAAGTGATGTATTAGAGAAGTGATATGATTTAAATAAGATGATGTGACTTAAATAGGATAGTGACTTTTTAACTTTTTGAATTTTTTAGAGGAGGCCAAACTTGGCCTAAAAGTCAAAATATGATCCAATAATTAAAAATTATTATCAATTTGTTTCTCTCTCTTCATGGAAATGAGGGGTTGTTTGGAATGATCTAAATAAGTGTACATATGACTTAAATAAGATGATACGACTTAAATAGGATAGTAATTTTTTAATTTTTTGTCTTTTTCAAACATGTCAAACTTGACCTAAGTGAATTTGTGGACGCGCCACCTGGCCCGCGAATATTCCCTCCCCTGATTTTGCGGCGGATATTCCACGCTGGCATCCCACGTGTCACTCCATCCTTTTTCTCCCCTACACCCCACCCCTCTCTCCAATCGGTTTCCCCCTCTCTCCACAACCTCCATCCAACGCCCAATAACAACACCGCCCATCTCCTCAATCCAACGGTCCAAAACGAAATCTATCATATCCTCCTGAACAATTACATAGTCATTGTTCGGAATATTTAATAGTAAATTTTTTCGGCTAATTATGTTCCTTCAGATTCGTAGCCGATCTTTTCTCTTCGTGTCGTTTTTTTTTTTATACACAATCGATCTCTACACACATTCTTGAATGTCTGGAAAGTTGAAATTTGATGCCAAAAACAATTTGATTTTCAGTGTTTAGATTGAAAATTTCAAGCATCAAAAGAGTTCAATTATGATCCATACCTTTTTCAATCCAATGGTGTGTGCTTGCTCAGTTGATATTCAATTCTGATTTCTTCCCTTTACATGCAACCCATCTCTAGACACATTCTTGAATGTCTGTAAGTTGAAATTTGAGGCAAAAACAGTTGATTTTGAGTGTTTTAGATTGAAAGTTTCAAGCTTTAAAATAATTGAATTCTGATCCATACCTTTTTCAATTCAATGGTGCTTGCTTAGTTGAAATTCAATTTTGATTTCTTCTCTTTGTTAGAGAGAGAGAGAGAGAGAGATAGAGAATTTGACGATTTGGGTGTGGCGGTGGGGATGATGGAGAGTGGGATGGTGATGTCGAGAGACCCAAAGCCGAGGCTGAGGTGGACGGCGGATCTTCATGACCGATTTGTTGATGCAGTCACCAAGCTGGGTGGCCCTAACAGTGAGTCTCCCTCTCTCTCTCTCTCTCAATGGGATTGGTACTTCCATTATTTGATGTTTGCTAGCAATTAGTAGCTCTGGTTTCAATTTACTGAATTAATTGCATTTGTTTTCTATATTGGTCTGTCCTTGGTTTTTTGTTGGACATTGTGTTTCAATGGTTTTTGACTAAAAACATTTTATAGAGGGAAATATTTTTCGGAAAATTGACTTGTTTTCCTATTTTTGGTTGGGCCTGAATTGATTGGTTCGCACAGAAAATTATTAATATTCCATAATTTCCATATTTTAGCTACACCGACTTGAAGAAATTGTTTTACCATAAAATGTAATTGGTTTCTCTTTTTGCTGTGGTTCATATACGTCTCTAATTAGTGCGAGTAGTTACATTCATACAAGGCTGAGAGATGCACTATCCATTTGTCCATTGATGAATATAGGTCTTCAAAACTGCTGTTAGCTAAATGGCTTAACAAAACAATTGCATTATATAGAATATTTAAGCTTGAGTTATTTTGTCTTTGGGTTTTTTACTAATCCAATAAATTTAGAAGAAATTTGAAATGGATAAGGTTATTCAAAGCATTGAAATTGGGGTCAAATTTGGTCTTTGGTTGTATACTTGTAGCTGCACAAAATTTATAATCAATAGAACAAAGACAAGTGATGGGGGTAGTCCTTTGATTGTACGAAAAATGATATTGATATTGATTAATGACCTTGCTACCTTGGTAAATTGGCCGAAGTGGAGTTAATCTGTTTTTGACATGTTGTGAATGTCAAAAAACTAAGTGGTGAATGGTCTGTAACAAATAGTTTTGTTAAATCCATGTTTTACATTGTAATTTCAGGAGGTTGACTGTAGTTCAGCAAATCCTAGTCTCACTCTTTCATCAGTAGTAGGGTTGTGTCCATAACTTATTTTGTTCATTTCACGTTATCCAAATTGTCAATTTAATAGTCTATAACTGCATATTAGATTTATTATGGTGGCATGGTTCAGGTTAGGCTGCTTGTTAATTGACCGCATTGATGTGATCCTTTTTTGGGAGTGCCTATTCTTGTTACATTAAATCCTGTCTATATAAGGAAATAAAGAATGTATCCAACTTTTGTAGCATCTAATATGTTTCATTCTGAACCATGGACATGAATTATGTGACAATTATTGCTATAGACAAATGGGAGGGAATTTTCTTATTTATTTATAAAGAGCGAGTTATTTTTGTAATTACAAGCTTAATACAAACTCAACTCAGAGAAGAGTTTCAATTTGCAGAAGCGACTCCCAAGTCGGTGCTGAGAGTAATGGGCTTAAAGGGCTTGACATTGTATCATTTAAAGAGCCATTTGCAGGTTTGTTTTGTTTTTTTTGGCCATCCTTGTCCATTATGCTTTCTATGAACTACTGATTTAATGTTCACATTTTTTGCGTAGAAGTACAGACTTGGGCAGCAGGCCAAGCAAAAGAACACTGTAGAACAAAACAAAGAGAGCAATGGTGAGTACATTATAATGTTTAATAAAAGTTACGTAGTTTCACTACAGATAGCTCAACCTCTTGCCAACAGCTCCTCCTCCAGCTGAAATTTAACTCTCGTGAGTACACCCTCAACTCAGTTCTTTCAAGAGGAAACAAAATGATTTTGCACCATCTCTTTGAATACATCTTATTTTCTTTTGTTTTGTTTTGTATTAATTTTTTTTTTTAATAGTGATTGAAATAGTTAAAATCATATTTTACATGAAAATCCTCAATTGAGTTCTTTAAAGAGGAAACAAAATGATTTTGCAGTAAGGAATCTCTGTTAATGTCGCTTCTGAATTTTGAATAATGCATGAAATTATAAAAATCATATTTTTCTTTGTCCAGGTGGTTTTTACAGCGACTACCATATGCATTCCTCAGGTGCTACTACCAATTCATCAGGAGTTAAAAGTGAACCAGGGTATTCTTTGAAACCAAGTAGTCTCTTTGTATATTTGGAGTAACTAGTTTTTCTTGGACTTTGAGTAAAAAAATTATGAATATAGCCTTAAATATAGTTTGAAAAGTTTTGTTTAAGAGTTCAAATTCAATTAAAAAAAAAAAAATGGAATGTATAAATTCATTTTTTGATCTGCCCATCTTGTAGCTAATGAACATTCTGTTTTGAACAGAGAAGTGCCAATTGCAGAGGCACTGCGGTGTCAGATTGAAGTAGAGAAGAGATTACAGGAACATCTTGAGGTCTCTCTCTTGTTTGACAGCTCTATGATCAATTTTCCTCTATAGGCCTCTTCTTCGTATTATGTCACATAATGTTTGCTAATTCATGTCATGGATTTTGGCCATTGTGTGATTTTTTTTCTTTTCTTCTGTCAATATGTAATAGGTACAAAAGAAGGTGCAGATGAGAATAGAGGCACAAGGGAAGTACTTGCAATCGATATTAGAGAAAGCTCAAAAAAGCCTAACACTTGACACGAACAACACAATCAGTCTTGAAGCCACTAGAGATCAACTTATCAATTTCAATTTGGCTCTGTCAAATCTTATGGTGAAGAATATGGATGGGGAATCAAGAAATGAAAACATTTCAGAGAAGAACATATTGTTTATTCAAAGGAAATAAAATGGGTCTCTATGCTTGGGAGAGGAACAGGAAAAGAAGGACATCAAGCTTAAAGTTGAAGGTAGTTGCATAAATTTTGATTTGAATACCAGAGGGAGCTATGACTTCTTTGGAGCAAATGGATCAGAATTGGGAGTGAAGAAGACACTTGCATATGGGAGTTAAAATTGAAAATATGGGGTTATACATGTTACCCTCAGTATCTTATATTTGTTGTTGGTACTAATTTAGATACAACTTGAATGCTATTATTGAGTCTTTTCCCTATTTTAACTCATCAGCCAGTACCTATTGGTGAGGGTCTTTGTACATTAACAACCTGAAGAGAGATCTAGAATGACTTGGAGCTCATTGTTTCCACCTTGATCTATGGAACCCAAAGAGATTAAGTTATGGTTGGTTGATGGTTACGTGTAAGATGAAACACTCAAAATTTTGGATCTTTTGTCTTCTTGGTTATTTTCTTCTATTGAAATGCGGCAAATAACGAATTGTTTACGAACTTCTCATATTTTTTTTCCTTCTTATGAATAATGCTTGATAAATGCTTGTCAAAATGCATTTGTAAATAATCGATGATATAATCTAAATCTTATGGTATTTCGTTATGTCCAAAATGGTGTTGGTTATTATCATGGCTTTGGTTTTGATTATTGTGTCCTAAAATAGTGTTGTTACAAAATAATGTCACTATAATTAATGATCCGAGTGAGGCATCATGTGAATTGAAGAATTTCCTGGTAAATTTCGGAGTAGAAACGTAATAGAAAAAATCAATCCAATGAATTCTGATAAAAGTCCACCCCCTTGCATCAAAACCTAAATACAAGTAGTTATCTACAAAGATGCCACTGCCCCTGTTAGTGTATACTTTTTTGAAATTTTTCTCAGCATTCAAACTCTTATAATTCATCAGTTGGTAATGAGTCATTTTCCAAAGTCTTCTTTTTTCCAATTATACTCCTATTTGTCTTCTGACAATTATTCCTTTCTTTCAAAGCATTTACAATGAATCCAGATAGCTAGCAAGTTCACCATGGCTTCATTATTTCTTCCACTTGTGCTTCGAAATCTGGACTCCTTGATCCGAAATGAGGTGGGCTTGCTTTGGGGGGTTGACGAGGAGATGAAGAAGCTTAAAAGCACTCTCTCCACCATCAAGGCTGTACTTGAAGATGCGGAGCGAAAGCAACTGCAAGACAAAGCAATTCAAAATTGGTTGAGAGAGCTCAATGATGCAGCCTATGAAGCTGATGACATCTTGGATGATTGCGCAACTGAAGCCCTCCGATTTGAATCTAAAGGCCAGAGTTCTGGTTCTCTGAAGAAGAAGGTAATCACTTGTTTATTGACTTTTAATCCTATTGAGAACATTATGTTCCGTCACAAGATAGGGAATAGGATAAAAGATATTACAGTGAAGTTCGATGCAATTGTTGCTAATCGTAAATTTCACTTGCATGAGGAAGCTGTGGAGAAGAGAGTTGAATATGCTGAAAGCCGTGAAACCAGTTCCTTTATAACTCAACCAGAACTGTATGGAAGAGATGAAGACAAAGAAAAGATTGTCAAAGTTTTGGTTGAGGATGTATGTGATAGCGAGGACGTTTCCGTGTACCCTATAATTGGTATAGGGGGGCTTGGAAAGACAACCCTCGCGCAAATGGTCTTCAATGATGAGAGGGTGGAACGCCACTTTGAACCTAAAATCTGGGTTTATGTTTCTCAGGATTTTGATGTGAAAACGATGATAAAAGCAATAATAAGATCTGCATCTGGAGAAGTTTCTCAAGACTTGGATCTAGGTTCTCTGCACAAAACCCTTCAAGACAAGCTGAATGGGAAAAGGTACCTGATTGTATTAGATGATGTACGGAATGACGATCAAAAGAAGTGGGTGAATTTGAAGTATCTACTAGCATGCGGATCGAAAGGTGCTTCAATTGTCGTCACTACTCGTCTTGAAACTGTTGCATCAATCATGGGAACTATCCCATCGCATCACTTGTCATTTTTATCTGATGAAGATTGTTGGATGTTGTTTAGGCATGTTGTTATTTTTCAAGAACAGTGACAAAATAAGAACATATAAGAACTAGAATGAGCTGCCAAAATGACCTTAATATTTTATTGACTAGAAAGTGCTTTATATACATGAAAAATATAACAGAAATGCATAACAACTTGCAAAGAAATAGCATCACAAGCCCATGAATAGATGAGCTTATCTTATAGTTTCCTATTTTCTAGTAACAACTACTTTGAAGCTTTCAAACGTTTTGACTTATTCAAAAATACTCCAGCAACTTTATTTCAGCAATCTTTGAATATCTTAGAAGCCTACTCAACATGACACATCAGCCGCTGAGTCATTTTCTCAACACTCCTCCTTGGATCAGCTGCTGCTCATTCCCAATTTTTCTCTTAGGAATTCAAACCTTGCTTTAGAAAGTGCTTTTGTTAGGATATCAACAACCTGATTTTCTGTTTTGCAATGGAGCAACAGTACTTCTCCTTCTTTCTGTACTTCCCTGAGAAAGTAAAGTTTAATCTTAAAATGCTTTGTTTTCCCATGAAAAACTGGATTATTAGATATAGATATAGCAGCTTGGTTATCAACAAAAATTTGTGTGTACTCCTCTTGTTCCATATGCAGATCCGTTAACAATTTCCTAAACCACAGAGCTTGGTTTACGGCGGCTGTAGCAGCCACATATTCAGCTTCAGCAGTACTTTGTGCAATAATCTCTTGTTTCCTTGAACACCAGGAGAACATGCCTGATCCAAAACTAAAGCAAAAACCAGTTGTACTTCTCATATCATCAATAGAACCTCCCCAATCACTGTCAGAGAAGCCATGGAACTTAAAATCTGAACAATGAGTGAACTTTATGCCATAATTGATAGTGCCTTTGATATACCTCAAAATCCTCTTTGCAGCTTGAAAGTGCACCTCACTTGCACAGTGCATAAACCTCGAAAGCAAACTCACAGCATGCATTATGTCAGGTCGGGTTGCTGTAAGATACATTAAGCAACCAATCAAACTCCTGTACAAACCTTCATCAACCTTGTCAGCTCCATCATCCTTGCTGAATTTCTCTTTCTGATTCATAGGAGTTGATGTAGCTTTGCAATCTTCCATGTGAAATTTTTTTAGGATCTCCTTTGCATACTTTTGTTGGCAGATAAAGACTTCATGTTGCCTTTGCTTTACTTCCATTCCCAGAAAATAGGACATCATGCCCAAATCTGTCATCTCAAACACCTTAAGCATCTCTGCTTTAAATTCCTTTATAAGATCCTCATTGCTCCCTGTTATAAGCAAGTCATCAACATAAACAGACACAACAATTAAGTCAGTAGCCTCCTTCACGTAAAGAGTAAATTCACTTAGACTTTTTACAAAGCCTAGGCTTAATAAGTGGCTATCTATTCTGCTGTACCAGGCCCTTGGTGCCTGTTTAAGACCATAAAATGCCTTTTTCAGCAAATACACTTTATCCTCATGCACCTGCATAACAAATCCCTCTGGCTGCTCTACATATATTTCCTCCTGCAAAAAACCATTCAAAAAAGCTGATTTAACATCTAGTTGATAGATCTTCCAGTCTTTTTGTGTTGTAATTGCTAGCAGCAACCTGATTGTATCTAACCTTGCCACAGGTGCAAAGGTCTCAGAGAAATCAACACCATAGATTTGAGCATAACCCTTCACCACTAGCCTTGCTTTATACTTGTTAACTGATCCATCTGCATTTAACTTGGTTCTAAACACCCATTTAACTCCTATAATCTTCCTATTTTGAGGTTTTTCCATAAGCTCCCAAGTGTGATTTTTCTCTATCATTCTCATCTCCTCTTTCATAGCTTCCATCCATTTATGATCATTTTTAGCTTCTTCAAATCCTGCAGGCTCCGTTACAGCAACATTGCATCTTTGATAAATGTCAGAAAGCAGTCTTGTTCCCCTAACTGGTGGGTCATCAACATTGTCTTCAAAAGGTTGCAAATTTTCTAAAAATTGATCTTTTTCTCCATCATCCCAATTCCATTGTTCATTCTCCATGAAAGTAACGTCTCTACTTATCAGAATTTTTCCTGTTTGAGAATGGAAAACTCTGTAAGCTATAGATATGTTGCTATAACCAATAAAGACTCCTGGTTCTGCTTTCTTATCAAGCTTGTCTCTCTTCATCTGAGGCACATATGAAAAACACAGACAACCAAATACTTTGAAGTTATGTAGTGAAGGTTTGTATCCATACCAAGCCTCAAAGGGTGTTTTTCTTTTCAAAGCCCTTGTTGGAAGTCTGTTAAGTAGAAAAATAGCAGTATTTGCAGCCTCTGCCCAGAATTTTTTTTGCAGCCCTTTTTCATGTAGTAGACATCTGGTCATCTCCATGAGTGTTCTATTCTTCCTCTCACTTACTCCATTTTGTTGTGGAGTGTATGGAGCTGTCAGTTGGTGCTCGATTCCAACTTCTTCACAAAACAAATCGAACTGTTCTGAGGTGTATTCCTTTCCATTATTCGATCTTAATACTTGCATCTTGTAGCCACTCTGGTTTTCCACCCAAGCTTTGAATTTCCAGAACACAGCTGCAACCTCAGATTTAAACCTTAAGAAGTAAATCCAACACATTCTTGTTAAATCGTCTATAAAAACAATATAATATTTACTTCCCTTTAATGATGGGGTTCTCTGAGGCCCTCCAAGATCAGTATGTATTAGTTGCAGCTTCTGTGAAGCCCTCCAGGCCTTTTTAGGAAATGGCAATCTACTTTGTTTTCCATATTGACAAGCATTGCAGCCAAGTAGATGCTCTTCTAGTGGAGGTAACCCTTGTACCAGCTGATTTTTCTGCATATATATGAGTGCTCCATGGTGGAAATGGCCCAATCTCTTGTGCCAAATTTCTGTTGTGTTCATAAAGACTTGATATGCTGTCTGCTCCTCCTTCATTGGATCCAGAGAGAAGCACTTGCCTCTCATTTTGATTGTACACACCTCACGGCCATCTGCATCTCTAATCATACACTTTTTATCTTCAAACAACAGTTTATAGCCTTTTTCCAGTAGTTGACCAACACTTAACAAATTTTGATCAATTCTAGGCACATATAAAACATCAGTGATTAGTTTTGTACCTAAAACACTTTCAATTGCTACTGTTCCTTTGCCTCTTACTTCAATGAACTCACCATTTCCAACCTTGACTTTGGAAATTTTAGTTCTATCCAGCTCTTTAAAGAGCTCTTTGTCATAGGTCATATGGTTTGTGTAGCCACTATCAACTAACCAGTGTTCATTAGAGCTTTTGCTTGCATAACATGAGGCAACAAACAGGTGCTCCTCCTCCTGCTGATCCACCATTTTAGCTTCACCTTCTTGCTGTTGTTTGCTTCTACAAACCTTCTCTATGTGGCCTAACTGGTTGCACTTCCTGCACTTGATGTCAGGCCTCCACCAACACTTAGATTGAGGATGATTTGTCTTCTTGCAATGCTGGCATTGAGGGTAAGTTCCTCCTTTGTTGTTGCTGTCTCCAGCTTCAGCATTACCTTTGCTTGAGTTGTCTTTATTGCCCTTCTTTTTCTTGCCTTTACTTTTATCTTGGATTTGTAGTTTGGCCTTCAAAGCTCCCTCCACAAACCCTTCTTGCCTAATTAGTCTTCTTTGCTCCTGTGCTTGTAAAGCATTCAAAAATTCTGCCAAGGAAATACTTGTTAAGTCTTTAGATTCCTCAAGAGAGGAGATTTTGGACTCAAACCTTTCAGGTATGGTTACTAGGATTTTTTCAACAACCCTTTGATCAGACAAGTCTTCTCCAAGCAACCTTACCTTGTTTACTATGCTCAGCAGCCTATCAGAGTACTCCTTTATGGTCTCTGATTCCTTCATCCTTTGCATCTCAAATTCCCTCCTTAAGTTCATCACTTGCATGCTCCTTGATCTGTCATTGCCTTGAGACTCAGTTCTGAGATAGTCCCAGATGTTTTTGGCTGACTCCAAAGTCATGATCTTGGTGAAAATAGCTTCAGAAACTGCTGAATGCAAGCAAGACTTGGCTTTGTATTTTTTAGTTGTTCTCTCCTTGTGAATCTTGATTTCTTGTATAGTGGGATTGTCAGGCAATGGAATGATTTCATAATCAGCTTCAACTGCCTCCCAAAGATCAACTGCTTGCAAATAAGCAGTCATCCTTACTGCCCATGTTTGATAATTCTCACCAGTGAAAACTGGTGGTATTATTGGAGAGAAAGCATTTGAGGCCATGCTTGGAAAGGTTAAGTGTTTGTGTTTTGGGGAAAGATCTCTCAGGATTTCTCACACAGGCCCCTCAAGAAAACAGCTCTGATACCAATATGTTGTTATTTATCAAGAACAGTGACAAAATAGAAACAATATAAAGAACTTAATGAGCTGCCAAAATGACCTAATATTTTATTGACTAGAAAGTGCTTTATATACATGAAAAATATAACAGAAATGCATAACAACTTGCAAAAGAAAATAGCATCACAAGCCCATGAATAGATGAGCTTATCTTATAGTTTCCTATTTTCTAGTAACAACTACTTTGAAGCTTTCAAAACGTTTTGACTTATTTCAAAAATACTCCAACAACTTTATTTCAGCAATCTTTGAATATCTTAGAAGCCTACTCACACATGACACATCAGCAGCTGAGTCATCTTCTCAACAAGGCAACGAGCATTTGACATGGAAATGAAGAGCGTCCGAATCTTGTGCGCTTTGGAAGGAGATAGTGAAGAAGTGTGGGGGTGTGCCTTTAGCTGCAAAGGCCCTTGGAGGGCTAATGCGCTTCAAAAATGAGGAAAATGAGTGGTTATTTGTTAAAGAATGTGAAATTTGGAACTTATCCCAGAATGAAAATTCGATCTTGCCTGCTTTGAGATTAAGTTATTATAATCTTCCATTGGAATCAAGATGATGTTTTGCTTATTGTGCTGTTTTCCCAAAGGGTTCTACAATTGAAAAGGAAAAATTAATCCATCTTTGGATGGTTAATGGCTACATTTCATGCAAAGGAAGGCCGGACCTGGAAGATATTGGTGATCAGATATGGAACGAATTGTGTTGGAGATCTTTTTTTCAAGATGTGAACAACGATGAAATTTTTCGAATGACATGGTTCAAAATGCACGATCTTATGCATGATCTTGCCTAATCAGCTATGGAGGATGAGTATCTGGTGATGGAGTTTAAAAGTTCGAGTAATATATCCAACAAAGAAGTTCATCATGTAACACTGGTTAATGATTGGATAGATAATTTTAATGACACGTTTTGTAATGTTGTATCCTTGAGGACATTCCAACTACAATATCCACCATTTTCCTACAGCAAGCGGGGCAATTTTTTGTGTGATTTTAGGAAGTTTGGTTCACTGCAAGTTTTCCAAGAAAGCAGCAGTAGCATGACAAGGTTGCCATCTTCAATTGGCAACTTAAAACATCTGAGGTATTTAGACCTTCATAATACTAATATCAAGCAGCTTCCTAATTCAATTTGTAGTCTCTGGAATTTGCAGACATTAATTCTAGACTACTGTCGGAAACTTGAGAGATTGCCCAAGAACATGAAGTACCTGACAAGTCTCCGACATCTTTATCTGATAGGTTGTCCGTTAATTGAGATGCCCCCAAATATTGGGCAGCTAACTTACCTGAAGACATTAAATGTATTTATTGTGGGTCAGAGCAAAGGTTGTAGTCTAGCTGAATTGAAATGCTTAAACCTTGGAGGACAACTTCGTATCGAGAACCTTGAGAGAGTGAGAAATCCGATGGATGCCAAAGAAGCCAATTTGGTGGAAAAGCAAAATCTTTGTCGATTAGAACTATATTGGGAATATGATTTGGCTGAATCTGGATCACGAAAAGATGTTGAATCTGAATTAGTAATTGAAGCCCTTGAACCTCATCCAAACCCGAAGGCATTGGTCATACAAGGTTATAAAGGTTCCCAATTCCCGCTCTGGATGAGGGATTCAGTTATGAAAAATATAGTTAAAATTTAGCTCTCCGAATGCAAAAATTGCTTACAACTTCCACCGTTTGGACAACTTCCTTTGCTACAAAGCCTTAGAATTGATGGAATGGATAAAGTACTGGAGTATCTTGACAATGACTTTCCTGGTGGTGGAGGCCCAGTGAGAGGATTCCCATATTTGGAAGTACTCCATATTGGAAGTTGTCCAAATTTGAAAGGTTTGTCAAGGGAGGAGGGAAGAGAGTTGTTCTCGTCTTTGCAATATTGAGATTGGAAGTTGTCCTTTATTGAGCTTTCTGTATCTTTTGTCCCCAAAAGAACTATTTCTCTACGACGAGTGCACCAACGTTATACTAAATTCAATATCAAAACTTATTAGTCTCACTTCCCTACGTGTTAGTGTTAATCATGAGGCGGTTTCTTTTCCAAAAAAGGTGCTGAGAAACCTTACTCTTCTTAAGTCACTGAGGATTGTGAGTTTTTCAAACCTTAAAGTGTTGCCTAAAGACCTTGCAAGCATCGTTGCATTAATTTCTTTGTCTATTGGTGACTGTCCAGAGCTTGAGTCTTTGCCAAAGGAAGGGATACAAGGCCTTGAATCTCTCCAATCGTTGCATATTGACAACTGCCCGAAGATTGCATCACTTCCGGCGAGTATTCAAAATCTTACCAAACTCTAAAGCATAGACATTTGGGGTTGCAGTCCTGAACTGGCAAGGCGATGTGAGAAGGGAAAGGGGGAGGATTGGTATATGATTGCACACGTACCAGAAGTCTTTATAAGGTATATGACTCTTCTTGTACTTGTTGTATTACTAGTTCGTTTACAACTACAACATAATAGCCCAAGTGGCAATCAACTTATAAATAGATACTGTAAAAATAAACCTTTTTTTTTTTTCACTAAATCATAAATTATACCAGACGTAACCTTTTAACCTCTAACCAAGTTAACATCCATGTTAATTTGTTCAATATCTAAATTGAATTTCAATTTGACAGGCCAATCTCAATTTGATCAAGATTTTAACGTCAAGTCATTGGGTGTAATCATGCACTAGGACTTGTGTGATGAATTGGCTACCTCTCATGACAAAGATCTTTCACGAAATTAATTAGGTGGCAGATGTTTCACATGATTCATAACTTCAATTTCCATTGTCAATCACAATTATTTGTTAAATTTTTTTTTCTATTTTCTTTTAAATTTTTTTTTTGGGTGCTTTTTAAAGAAAGCTTGCCCAAACAAATTTTCACATTCGAATGTATCCGAACTACTTGAATTGAGCGTACTTATCTAATGGCTTGTTTATTCAGTTCTTTACCTGGCCTTACTTCAGCAATCTGAGCTAACTGTTCTTCTTTCAAGCTCCTTCTTTCCATCAATATCAGTGACTGCCTTGTTAACTTTTATAGCTCTCTCCTCACCTATTTTTGATCAATAATGCATAGATACATATTTTGTGAGAATAATAGGTACTAAATGGTGATCAACGTGTCTCACCTTCAGCTAGTTCATATAGAAGCAGCACAAATTAATGTAACAAATTGTTTGAAGAACATAAAATGTGTTTTTTTTTTAAACCCAATTATTTGAAGAACATAAATCATTTGTTGCTTTGAAACTTATCTATCTAAGATAGTCTATTCAAATGGTTTGAGCTTTAAAATGGACTACGAAGTCTAAATGTCTAAAAATTACTTTAAGTGCTGTGGTATGAATTTGTGGTTAGCCATGACAAGGAATAAAGCAGCTACATTATGATATGATTGTGCGCATTGAGTCCTTCATGATTCAGAGATTGTATGTATTTTCTATATTTATTTACGTATATTTATTTCTATTCATCTTTGTAGGTTTGTGTTTTTTTTTGCTCCATAGCAGGTTATTTGACTCATATTCTCTTGTATTGTTTTTGTCATGGCAGGTGCTGATGCCATGCTTTTGGGACATAATGACAGCATGATGGCTGCTAATTTTGAAGTGGTTGTGGGCATCAGATGCATTGTTGATGGGGAAGGTTTTGGGCTGCCTATGGGTTTGAGGTTGGCTGATATATAGAAGTGGTTTGGTAAGCTGTTCTGTTCTCCCATCACTCACCATTCAGGGCTAGAGATTTGTGGCCACTTGGTTTCTCTTCTGCAGAATAAAGATTAAATGTAGGCCTTATTTGTCAGTGTGTAATAATGTTAGTGTGTGATGGACACTGGGGCTCTGGCCTTCTGAGGTTGGAGGGTTGAAGCCCTCCCATATTATGGCCACTTTGTGTTCTCGGTTGCTTTCAATAATTTGATGTCGAGTTTCTGTTTTGGTTTTGGGTCTTGATCAGAGGCTAGTGGGAAGGGGTTTTAGTAAGCTGTTGTATTCTCGGACTCCTCTGTGTCAATGTGTGGGCTCAAGGCTTGAGATTTTCTGATGAAGGGAGGAAATTTATATAATTAGTGGATGCAACGAGCACAACTAACAAGTTATGGAAAATTTTAAATATCCAAACCGCCATTACAAAATTGAAGGTAGACCATAAGAACCATCTCTTGATTACATTTTTATTTTGTGCAAATGGTATAGTTTTGGATACCATATCCAAATCAATCTACATTAGATCCAAACAAATGAAAAACCAACTGTCGACTAATAATGATTAAAACTCGATAAAAAATGATGTAGTTTTCATGATCATACTTGTCACTGAAACTTATTATACTTACCACATCAATGTGATTAAACTTATCACTAGAATGTAATCATACTTATCGCTAGAATTAATCCTACTTCTCACTATAATTAATCCTACTTCAGTTTTAAACTCAAGACATGTCTTAGTGTAATGAAAATTACAGATTAATCCTTGTATAAAATCATGACAGAAAATCCTTATCTGGTGTACTTTGTCCATCACGTTGCCCCCATTTCTGATTAGTTCTCACTAATATTGCCAAAATGGCAGTGTAGGGTGCACATGAAACCAATGGGATGCAGTTTTCATGCGAAATTAACAAAGCAATACTGAAACATTTACTCATCTATTAATATATTCACTGACAGTTCCAAGATGCTAGGGTAGGGTGCACATGAAACCAATGGGATGCAGTTTTCATGCAAAATTAACAAAGCAATGTTGAAACATTGACTCATCTATTAATATAATCACTGACATTTCCAAAATGCCAGAGAGTTCTCCATTTTCACACTATTGTTGGCTATGATCCAACCCAACAATTAACTTCATGTATTTGTTCCTTTGAGCTCTAACTCAAAAGGCATCTTCATAATAGAGCCACTGCTGGAAAATTTACTTTTAGTGGCGTTTGAAAAACGCCGTTGTAGGTATTAAAAACGTCGCTAATTCTTTTTGTGGCGTTTAGTACCAAACGTCGACAACGCGGCCGTCGCTATAGCTTTATGGCGTTTGAAAAATGTTGCTATATTAGTATTATGACGTCACTATATGTTTAGCGACATTTTTGAAACGCCGTCATATCTTTTTTTTTAAAATCTAAAAGGTTTAGGTGGCATTTTAAAAAACACCATGATATCTTTTTTTTTTGTGTGGAAATTGTGCTAATTTTGTGTAAATGAATTAAAAAAATACCTATAATGAAATTAAATAGCACTAAAAATGATTTTGGCTTCATTTTTGTCAACAATTTGCGCCAGCATCGTGATGGAACTCATTTGGGCAAAGTTCAAGGCCCCTATTGACTTTAACAGAAGCAACCAAATGAGGTAAGAGGCATTATCTCAACCCTCCACTATAGCTATCATACGAATCCTCAAGTTCTAATACAAATAAAATTCAAAATGTATACTTTGAAATAATAATTGCCAAACAAAAAAAAAAAACTTCAAAGTAAAGTTATTACAAAATGTTTTCCCAAACAAATGTTCGCACATCAAGCTCCAAATCTTCCCACAACTATCAATCTTTTTCATAGTACAAACATGTGTTGTCAAGGATATCAAAAAGGAAAGAAGCAACCTTCATATATTACATGCCATAATATCCAAAAGTTGAATGGTCCAAGCATTCATCTCTATATTCCATCATACAATCCATTCTATCCAAGAAAGATGCTCAAATGACCTGTTTTCATCAAAAACATAATCCATGTTAAAGTCAACTAAACAAAAAATGAAAAGAATGTCCAAAAACAAATGCATCTCCTTATGCGGTCTAGTCTAGGCCTCAGTTTCCTCTCTCTAAACTGTAGGTGTGAGGAAAATGTGCCCAGTAGAATAATTCTAGCAAAAGTAAACAATAGTATGGTGACATGTCTAAGTGTACAAGATATGGGAAAAATATATTGGCCTTGTTTGGTTTGCTTTTGAGAGTAATTTTGGAGCAAAATTTTCAAAATTTTGTGTGATTAGTGATTTTGAAATTTTTTTTCCATAATCACTTTCTCTCCTACACATCAATCAATCACTTTTTCTCTTTCCTTTCTCCTTTTCAATCACTTTTTCTTTCACACACATTTACTTAACTACAACAAAATATCAAATCATCTCAAACTCGTATGCTCCAAAACTATTTCCAAAATATACAACCAAACAAACCAAAAAAATTTCTAATAACTCTCCCCAAATTTTTTTTTTGAAAATTTATCTCCCAATACCAAACCAAACACACCCATTAAATCTTTATATCTCACCAAGTATGTCAACATTCCATTTTAATACCATCATAAGCATTTCCTTGCCATTTCATTACAGCAGTGATCCCACCCAATTCCAATATATCATTTCAAGTTCCAATTTCCATATCCAACTCACATATTTACACACACCCATACTCATACCCACACACACCAGAGACAGATACTCTACAGTCTTATTTTCTCCCCCTATCATACAGGCTTTATGATAGCTAAAGAAAAAAAAGAAGAATAAAGGTCAATCCATTTCCCAAAACCCTTTTAACTATTATGCAAATTTTCATGTGGGCTCATTATTAATGTTTATCATGTCCAAAAGTTTACAACGCATAGAAATGATTGACTAGAAATAAAACTAAAGTAGTCAGGATAGAACTAATTGAGAACCAGAAAAATGGACTGCTGAAAAATTTAAGACAAAAAATGCATGAAAATAATTGATAAGAAATAAAACTAAAGCAAGGATGGAACTCTTAACATAATGCTGGAAACAAACTTACATAGAATTCTTGCTGAAGGCAGCATGTATAAAAGCCCAAATTGGATGTGATACCACATCTTTGAGATGAGCCAGATTGATTGATAAAGATAGGTTTTAGTATCTTTCTTTGATAAAAGCATACTCCTTCTAGGCAAGTGAATACCTAATAAGCAGGAACAATAAAAGATAATAAGTCAAAGTCGAACAGGAATCCCTGGAAGGTACTTGAACAACTATAGAAATAAGATAAAGAAAAGGAAAATGGAAAAATAAAAAAGGGCTACAAACTTCTAAATCCAAGTGTTATCTTCTTTGGGAGATTTTGATGCAATATGCATATCAAGCATTTTCTCCACCTATCAGCTTTCTATTTCAAATGTCTGTCACATAGGTGCAATCTGCAATCTTACCAGCTCAAACTTCATTTATATATTTAACATATTGATTCCATAAGGAACAGGTGACATGATAACATTATTTTGATATAATAAGAAGAGCAACATAGAGCAAAATGAATCCACTTTACATGGCTAAAGAAAAAAAAAATTGTGGGATAAAAAGAAATCTTTGACACCAAATGAAAATCAATTAAGAAAAGAATCAAACAAAATTTCTTCACAAGAACTTCCACTTCAACTCTGAAGAAACATGGCATGAAATAATCATTCATTCACCTGTACTCTTATTTTTGTCCCCAACACCTTGCTCTGTTTCCAGAGTCAAAAAATTCACCACATGTGCACTCAGCAATGCACCCAATAACTTTGAGCTCTCCACTGATATTATCCTGTGGATTAGGGGTAAAGAAAGTTGATAAGCAGGAAAACCAAAAGAAAGGTGAGAGAGAGAGAGAGAGAGAGAGAGAGAGAGAGGTGGTTAAAAAACCTAAAAAGATTACCTTTATTGAGTAATACAGGACAAAAATATTTAGTTCTTTGTATGAGCATACTCCTTGGAAATAACAATGATTGAATGTAACAAAAATTTACCATCCTGATAGAGGACTCAGGGAATGCTTCACTTTTCCAATAAAAATAACTAACATGATATTATATTGTATTTCAATAATCTAAAAAAGAAAAAATTTTATTATACCACATTCTGAAAGAACTTTAATATTACTCATGAAGTTCAAAATCATTTTGAATAATTCTAGAATGAAAACTATGGCTTCCTAGTGAATGATGTACATGAATATATTCTCCATTTAAAATCTTTCCTCTTTTTTTTTCCTTACTCGTGATATATTACCACATAAAGGGGAATACAGTTAAAGAAAAGTGAGCCATATGATCACATTGTTCGCTCGAACTGTCACATTGTAAACAATCCACTCTCAATACAAAGGTAGTAACCAAGAAGAATAAATAAATAACTTCATAGCATGAATTAAAGAAGGGATTCAAAATACACACCCCCATGATGTGATCAAGGTTTCGGAGATTCAGAAGTATTTGGACATCACATCAGTTAAGACCTACATTATCAACAGTTAAAGCTATTAGAGAGAAGTGGAAAAGAGAGAGAAAGAGAGAGCCTAACCAGGTAGCCCTCGGGGAAAGGCAAGCTAGGCCACCAGCCTGGGCAATACTGGAAGCACCATTGAAGCAGGTGCACACTACCCTATTGAAATCCTTTATTACTGGATACCGGTTCAAGTATAACAGCTCCTTAGGTACCACAGTCCAACCAAGTCGGACCCCCGTGAACCCGGCAAACTTGGAGAAAGATGAAATTTCAATTGCAACCTTTAGTACATGAATCAAATTCATTGTTTGGTTCTCTGTACTCCATTATTAAAAATAAAATACAAAACACTTGTTCAACCAATGGTTTAGACAAAATTTCTAAAAATACCCTTTTTAGAAAACAAGGGCAATACTAGTGTGATAGCCCTGGTCCGTGTTATGCTAATTAATCTTGATTATGATTGTGATTATGTGATTGATATGATTTTGAGTGCCATTTATATGAATATATGTGGTTTTGAATTTCTATCTGTTCACCGTAGGAAAATCTGTTTGATTATCTGCTTTAGAATTTAAATTGAAGGCCTTATCGGCCATAAAACCCGAAATTGATTATGCCATTGTGATTAGCGTAATTTTTAGAGCCTACGGTGAAATTTAATTAAAAATTGATTTGGATCAGATTAATTAGATTAAACTGATGTAATGGTTCTTAATTAATTAGTGTTGATGAAGTGTGATTAAGAGAGCCTATAAATAGGCTTATATACACTTAAGTCCCTCATTTTGTGAACTCAAAATCTGAATGTGCTCTAGAGAGAGAGAGAGGGGCTCAAATTATGAATGTTGGCTTAAAGCTTGGGGATTGGAAGCTAAACTCAAAGATCTAGCTAGAATTTGTGAAGATTGAAGCTTCTATGTGAGTATTTGAGCATAAATTCATAAGTTAAGTTTGTAATTTTGTGAATTGAAAGAGAATATGTAACCAAGAGCATAGACTGAATTGACTATGATGAATTTGAAGTCTATATGAACATGCATGAAGGGAATTGTCATGAATTTGCATAGTCTAACATGTAGCATGATAATTATGAGAAATTGAGAGTTGAATCATATATGCAAGCATGATTTTGTTTAGTTCTATAAGAATGAACATCACTTGTGTCATTTGAATTGGTATTGAGGTCTATATAGTGCATGCATGAATGATCCGTAGAGAGATATGGAGTTTGTATGAGTTAGAATGCATGCGCCTTGATTATACAAAGGAAATGTTGATTAATTTTGAAGATTGGACCATGATTTTGAATGATTGGCCTCATATTGTTATTGTCCTCATGTTATGTAATGTTTTCCATGATTTTGTGTCAAAAACATGAGTTTTGATACTTTGAATATCAAGTTTGAACTTCAAGAATAGTTCTGGAAATTCCAGAATTTCGCATGTCCGCTCGAGCGTGAAATGTTGGTTCCCAGAAGTTTTGCAGACATGACATCCGCTTGAGCGGGGAGATTCATGCTCGAGCGTCAAGCCATGTAGTTTTAATTTCAGCTCGAGTGTCCGAAGTCATGCTCGAGCATAAATTTGAGGCAACTAGTACTTCTGCAGGAAAAAAGGGGTTCGCTCGAGTGGGGAAACCTATGCTCGAGCGGGGAGCCCTGTTTCTGACATTTCGAAAAGATGTTTTGTGTTTCATTTTCCTTTCTCTTTCATTTCTAAGCACTCTTAGGCGTACATTGAACATTATAAATGAGTTAAAGAGATAAGAAAGAGGCCTAAGAGGGATATGTAAATTAAGAATGGATTGAATAGCTTGTGACCCAATATGTATTATGTATTATGTAGGGTCAAGTACAAGGGTAAATCCATCGATGGAACATTGTGAGTAGTATCGTAGTAAAGATATTTTCAAGTACGTTACTTTCCAAATGCTACTTCTGTATAAGCTTCATGGATTTGTTGATTTGAAATATGAATGAGTATTTTATATGCCTAATTTTGTATAAGGCCGTTTGTAACTTGATACGTTTAATATATCTGAATTGGGCTTAAGGTCGTTTGTAGCTTGATACGTTTAATATATCTGAATTGGGCTTAAGGCCGTTTGTAGCTTAATACGTTTAATAAATCTAAATTGGGCTTAAGGCCGTTTGTAGCTTGATACGTTTGATATATATGAATTGGGCTTAAGGCCGTTTGTTGCTTAATACGTTTGACTATAATGAATGATTGAGCCAAAGGCCGTCGGATACGAGTGATTGGGCCAAAGGCCATCGGACATGAATAATTGGGCTAAAGGCCATCGGACATGAATAATTGGGCCAAAGGCCGTCAGACATGAATGATTGGGCCAAAGGTTGTCGGACACGAATGATTGGGTCAAAGGCCGTTGGATATGAACGATTGGGCCAAAGGCCGTTAGACATGAATGCAAAGATGGGCCAAAGGCCGTTTGAATATGTCATTTGATATGTTGAAATACCGTGATGGGTCAAAGGCCGTTCGAATGAAAGGGATCATGATCATGAATATGAAATACGCATGGATATGAATATAAAGAGAATGGGCCCGGGGCCGTTTTGTACACCTGATATGTTTGAATTGGGCCCGAAGCCGTTTGATGTGTTCGAATTGGACCAAAGGTCGTTTTGAATAGAGAGTTGGTTGGACCAAAGGTCGTTTCGTATAGATGGACCTGAGGTCGTATTGTTATATATAAGAATTGGACTTGAGGTCGTTTTGTATATGGACATGATGTGTTGGACCTAAGGTCGTTTTGCTTTGTTGAGATTTGTAAATTTGGTGTGAATGAGAATAGTGGTTCAAATATGTACATTATAAGTATGATTCATTTATGAACGAATCTCATTTATTAACCTCTTTATTTTGATATTATTCATTGGGCGTTAGCTCACTCTCATTTATATGTATGTAGGTGAGCAAAGAGACGTTCAACCCCAGCCTTAGTGGAATTTAAGAAAGGAACCCGAGTTTTGTGAAGTCAGCCCAGGTGCCTCACGCAAGAGGCTTTGGTTATGATCTTTTGTATTCCTTTTTGCTATTTCTATTGGTCGTGATAGACCGTTTATGTGTATAAGCTGTTGGTTTAGCTGACTATGTGTTTAAATGATCTTGGGTATACAAGATGTTAACTACTGATATGTGGTGTGAGTTATTATTGAGTACATGTGAAATGTTTTGATATGCCATGTAAGCATAGCTCATTGGATGAAATTTTTAAGTCTGCTTCCGTTTGGCCCCTTAACTCTGATGGAGTATATTCTAATCTGATTTGAGGTCGAAGGTAATCTCATGATTACTGGCCGGTTATGACCTTAATCTATAGGGGCGGGTTCGGGTCATGACAACTAGGTACTAGCATATAAGCTTATATGGTCACCTAAGGCATCAATTGAAAAGAAAAAAAAAGTACCTAAAGATTTTGTGATCAATTTGATTTATTTATTTATCATTTGAAGTCAATTTAATCTTTTTTTTCACTACTTGGGAGTCAATATAAGAAACAAACAAAATGACAAATTACGGTTTAGTTTTGTGAAATTGGTTGGGAACAAGCTAATTTAGTAACTTTTTGGCTATTTGGCTAAAATATGAGCTAAAAAAAACTAGTATGTTTGGGATGACTTTTTAACTTTTTACGAAAAGATGTGCAAAAAGTAGAGAGAAAAGAGAATCTTTGACTTTTTGGTATGGATTGTTGACTTTTTAGTTTTTTTAGTAACTTTATGGCTTTTTGGCTAAACCGGCTAGTCCCCAAACGAGGCCAAGATGAAATTAAACACTTTCATGAATAATTTCATTCAATAGATTTGAATGACCCTTCTAAAAATTATGAATGTTTCCAAACTTGTACTTGTTTTTAATTTTCAAAAACATAAAAAATAAAAATAATTTTTTTTAAAACAACAACATATACCTGTCTGGCACCAGGAATTTCAAAGATTGATTTGGGGCTATCATCAGTGATATAAGCAGCATAAGCAGAATCATAAATAATAATTGACTCATTAGCCCTTGGAAACTCCACCAGTTGCTCCAGTTGCTGTTTCGATGCTGCATTACCGGTTGTGCTCCTACCAAATAACCCATAGAAGTGAAAAGAAGACACTGTTCCAAATAACCCATAGAACCTAAAATGTTGTATTTACCTGCATGTAAGATATGTTTCTAAAGGTAGGTATAGATGGAAATTTGTAGCAGTCCATTCGCCAGCTTCTTTGCTTATCTTAAATCTGCCAACTGGCTTTCTCGCTTGCAAAGCACCTTTCGTAGCAGCATCCATGAGACCTGGACCAGCCCCTGCCCATGAAGTATAGCTCAAGAGAATCCAACGTGAACAACTGTACTAGAGCTTCCCAATTTACATGCTGATGATGCTAGTTTGAGATTTATGAAGGTGAGGTGGGTGCTTTCAGATTTTCTCTGATCTACCCATATTAGTATTGAGAGAACATGTAAACAAAAAAAAGAAAGAAAAAAAGAGAAATTCTTTATCATATTGAAAGTCTGGCACTCTATAAAGTACAAGTTCATAAAGTGATGCAAGCATTACAGCCTGTCATAGGAATCATTCAGATCAGTATGGCAACCCTTGGAATCACAGTACAAAGCCTTGAAACATAAAGCACAATCATCACATGATGCTATAAAACCATTTGGGAGCAAGAGCACCTGCCTTGTATCCACATTTACATCCCTCAATGAGATGAGGAACATATATTGGCTTCATTGCTCGTTTTGAATGCAATCAACAACATAGCTCAAAACAAAAACAAAAACAAAAACAAAAACAAAAATTTCTATATAGGAACAAAAAGTCCAGGATTCAGAAGCAGAAATGGATACCAATTTTACCTTTCTAGATCCCACCAGTTTTCAGAACAGGTCCATCTTGAGGAAAGAAAAGCATCGGCAGGAACTTTGCGCGACTTAAAACAGTCTTCACATTGAGCCCATTGGATCTTTTCACTGACACAGTTTCAAAACAACATTGGTATTTACATGGCCCAAAAAGATGTAGACACAATAACAAGTCCATTTAAAAGTTGTAACAAGACCTTGAGATATGGTATAGTATTAAGACATATAAATGAAATTCATTTTCAAGACAAAAGAATGAAAGAACTAATGTTACATTCCTAAAATGGAGACCAAATATGGATGAAATGAAACCTGCAGATACTTGCAGGATACAACATTTAATGAAATTCAAGATACCATCGCTCAACATTCAATGCAATT